CGACCATGCACATGGTCAGGGATTCGATCCCCTGCCGGCTCACTCATGCACCTCCTTAAGCCGGTAATAAGACTGGTAAAGAGGAAAGGTTGGGCATGAGGCTAGCAACCCCATCCTGTAAAATAAGCACTGCTACAGAAACTTCAAGCCAGTAGCTTGAAGCCCTATGTTCCACTGGGGAACGTGAAGGAAATAAAAAAAATTGTAATTGCGGTAATAGGTGCATAGGAAAGACTGAAAGGAGAACATCTAAGAGATTTCCTGAGCAAATAAAGAATGAGAAAATGTTTAAAAGTGCTAATGAGACATTCATTTAGAACCAGTGAATTCTTCAAAATAATCAATATATGGAGAAAACCCTATCTAATTTGCTTCATAGAAGTCATTCCTATCCAACGATTTTATCCCAGTCTTTGAATACGATAAGGTAGTTTGATTAATCTCGCAATATCTTGGTAATTCGATGTTTGTGTTCATTTCGGTTACAACTCATTGAGTTAAACTCGTTATTCATCTTCCAGTTCACTTAATTCTTTGTTTACGTAATAATTCTGCTTTTACCTGGCATTCCTCTTCACAACCCCCAATTTTTCCCCAACTTTCCATAACATTAGGTTTAGTATAAATGCACTATGGTTATTAGATTATTATTATTATTACTGTTATTATTATCTTGTATTGATATCTCTTGTTCCACTATTATGCCCCTTCTTTTGAGTCGTATACAGGAAAAGGCATTCAGCGAAGAGTATTACACGTCTTCTGAATGACATCATTTTCAAGAATATACAGTCGCCTATATATATAGTAATTTGTCTCGGTAACAAAATGTTTATTTTCTATAGTTAGGTTTGTAAGGATTAGTTATGGTTTTACGAGTTGATCACGGATTGATATCAGATAGAGGACCATTGAAAACCAGTGAGGGAGTCCTGAACAGCTGTCTTGTCAGCCTAGTTTGGAAGTCATCGGCAATAGGCACCCACTAGGGTATACGAGCTTGCCTTGCAACCGGAAGGCCCTGGGTTCGAACCTTGGCGGTGGGTGAGTACTGCCGATGATCCCAAAACTATGGGGATGAAACAGCTGTACAGTACTCCAGTGGTGGTTTTCAATGGTTCTCTAACTAATATCAAATCCGTGATCAACTCATAAAAGGAATATTCCCATAGATGTGTCATTAGAATTGTGAATTTTAGATAACAAATTAAGTAATGCAAAAAAGTGTTAATCGGGTAGAAACTAAGCTAAAATTGAATAAGTAAATTGAGTGACGTAATATGATTAATGAGTTTGAGTAGAATTCCACTAAAATTTGAACGAGTGTCAAGTTAACAACAGTGGTAATAAGGCGTAGGAATTTAATAGGGTTTGGGGAATAAAGAAATACAATTAGGAAACAAAAGCAGAAATTCTACGCAATTGAAGGATAAGCTCCAAATGTTGGTCTTATCAGTGTGAATCTAACAATTCATCTGTTTGCGTGGAGCTGGTTATGTCATCAATATCCAACATTTGCTATCCAAACGTATCATCGAACACATACCCATTCATGGTTTTATAAGGAACAGAAAACATTCCCACCCTAGATCCCCTGGTCGAATCTGGACACTAAGTTAACCTACAGTTATCTACAGAATACATGGGAATCTACTTAAATGAATACAAATCAAACTTCGTCAAACAGAGCAGAAGCAAAGGTAATTCAATTTGTTAAATCCTGAACTCTGCAAACAAAAGAAGAAGTTTGTTCAGTCATTCAATCTACAATCTACCTTATCTGTCCTAACACTGGATATGTAATTTTTGTTTCTTAATTGTATTATTTTCTTCCTTCAACGCCTATTAAATTTCTGTCCCCTTATTACCAATGTTGTTAATTCAACTCTCGTCGAATTCTACTCAATCTCGTCAATTATATTAAGTCACTCAATTTACTCATTCAATTTTACTTTAATTTCAACCCGAATAACGCTTATTGGCATTACTTAATTTGTTATCTAAAATTCGCAATTCTAATGACACATCTGTGGATGTATCTCTTTTGTTGCTGAGACAACTTACGGTGAATATGCAATTGTACATCTTGAGAATGATATTGCTGAGAAGAGGCATAACTTTTCCAAGGAATGCCTTTTCTTTAATATGACTCAGAGGGAATTTTAAAGTTCCTTTGTTTCGAAGCAATTTTTGAAGGTCACAATAGATAAACAAACAGCCTAATTAATAAAAAGTTTGAAACATGGACTAACAAGATGAAAGATAGACAAATTAAATCACTGGTGAAACTCTTTCCTTAGTTTTCCGTTTGTTTTGTATACAATACTTAAAAATTATTGAATTTCATTCTATGTATCAGCAGTCCATTTGAATGTTGAGTCAGAATTCAGCTTTCTGAGCTGACTCAAACCGGATACATACCTGAGGATGTCGCTGGCGCTTAGATTACTTGGGAGTGGCTAACAAACACTACTTAAGTGGTATCAAGCTACTTATATCATTCTCTCAGTGGTATATACTTATCGTATCACTAAGTTATGTCTACTTATGATATTTTGTATTTCCACAAAACCATAGTATTCTGGATGTCATGGGTGTAAGTGGAAAAGGTGAGTTTGCACTACCATTTTAAATGCATTAATCTAAACATCATTATGGAAAAAATTTTATTTTGATAAAGTCACACAGTGTGTTATACAGTAATATTTGCTGATGACCACGTTTCGAGCACAATTTATCACTCTTCATAATCATATCAAGGCACTACACACACAACTTTCTTGCTTCGTTTATATACATGAGTAAAAACTGATTAGACATTTGAATAAAATCAATATAAAGCTTGCGTGAAACAGAATGGAAGATAAAGTACATTCGGAACAAATATTAGTGTTATCAGTCAAATACAGTAAGATGGGAAATAAGATTTTTTTATAGTAACATAAGCAACATAATTAACTTGTTAGAGTGTTATGATGTACGTGAATTGAAACAGAATTTTAAGATTATTTATTATCCACTTCTGATTTGACTGACTAGTGGTAATAATATCTTCCATGCATATCTCTGGTATTTGCATTGAGTCATTTCTGTTGCATGTGTTGGGTGTAGACTCGATGAACCAGATAGGGTTCAGTAATCTCTCTCTCTGTCTCCACCTACCTATATTACTTCTTAGAATCTTAACCCTCTCCCACCACCCTATTGTGTGGTTGTGTGTTAATGCATGAAGTGCAATTGCTGAGCTTTTTTCTAAATTACTTATCTTCTCGGGGTCAACCATTCTAACCTTAGCTAAATTCTTATGTTCTGATAATCTGACTACCCCCGATCTACTAGCTTGACCTATGCAGTTGACTTAGCTCACAGTCATTGCAAGGTATTTCGCAAATTATATTATTTTGTCTAATTGGGCCAACCTACATAGTCTTTTAACCTACAGAGCTTGTCCTACCTAATTGAGTCTGTAGGTTTAAATGCCACCATCCTAATTCCTGCCTTATTGACAATCCTACGCAGAGTTCTCCTCCTTATATAGTCTAACTACTGTAGATGCCTTATATTCTCTCTTATTTGTGTTATCATTATCAGTTCCACCATTATTTTTACTTTTTATTTTGATCTTTTATGATCTTCCTAATGAATTTTATAGGACTGTTAGTTATTTAACACCAACGCTTCTTCTTCTATAGGCACATCACACTAGTTACTAGTGTCCAATTAGAGTATCTACTACATTCCTACAGGAGGTCAATCGCGAGCCTGAATAGCTCAGCGGTAACGTCTCTGACTGCAGTACTCACTGGGTGATGCGGGTTCGAATCTCATAAGGGGGACATGAGTTCTTTCCAGTTTGCAGATATGCCTTGATGACTAGTGAGTGCCAACTAGCACGAAACCTAGATCCAAGGCTTCCTGTCGATTGCTTCCAACTATCTAATATCTTCTGTATGTTCTATTTCATCATTTATGTTTTGTGTTGTACTACTTAGTGCGATTGTTGGGCTTGTTACAGCAGTCAGCTGTGCTCAAAACGTCGTCATCAGTAAATATCACTGTATAACACTACATGACTTTATCAAAATAAAATTTTACCCACAATGGAGTTATACTCTACCACAGGGCACAAGTCGTATTCTTATATCAATAAACTAAACATCATTTTAAATTGTTTCTTTCATTGTTATAATGGATAAACAAAGGAATATTATTTACAAAGTTACTAACTTTCAAAATTTAGTTTGTAAAAAAGATTTAACTGACTTCAAATTTGACCACGGATTGACATCAGTTAGAGAACCACTGAAAACCAGCAGGCCAGTACTGGACATCTGTTCCCGCCCAGTTTAGGATTCATGATCAGTACGCATCCATAACCCAACCGCCAGGGGTCAATTCCAGGTCATTTGTGAGGCCGAATACTCCCCAATGACATTGGCATGGTAGTCGCTTTAAAAATCGCGTATTGTTAGAATTTAGAATTCATGGTCCATTGGATTCCTTCCCAGTAGATGAATTCGCCTTGTGGATTGTAGGTTCATCCCATGATTGTTGGCCATTTATGTGAATTGATAAAGAGTTCAACACTTGAAAGGTGAAACGAATGGCCCGTATTCCCCCCTGGTTTTCAGCGGTTCTCTTTACCGGTATCAATCCGTGGTCAAACTTGAAAGTACCAAATTTATTGAATAAATACGGCGGATTGGTCGTACTCTGAGAAAACCACCAAGTGTTATCACACGCCAGGCCCCCTAGTGGGACCAGAATAGGAAGCAGCGAGTTGGTCGTAAGTACGGGGATGACATGGAGGTGGACATGTGAAGAAGAGGTGGAAGCATGTGGGCAGATGTGTAGCCAGGTGAAAACGTTGGCGGAGAACTGAACGCAATGGAGACGTGCGGCTGGAGCCCTATGTTTCTCTAGGAACTACAGGAGATAATAGTAATCATAATAAATAATATGGTAACTATCAAAGATCCTACAATGTATTGATTACTTACTGGTTTGACATTTTAGTGTGCCATCAGATGGATCACATGGAGTGGAACATAATCTTCCTCTTAGTGAATAATACTGACGATATGGCCTTTGAAAAAAAAACAAGATAAATTTGATTAATGCATCACTTTACATATTACTGACAGATGTATATTAGTAGTCGGAATAATTCAACACAAAAATATTTTGTTATTTAATAAACAAACTACAGGAGGAACGGACGAGGATGTCAAATCGAAAATCGGGAAGGCGAGAAACACATTCATCAACCTGAAACCAATCTGGAAATCTTCGTCACTCAACTAAGCATCAACAACAAAATGATTCGGATTTTCAATACAAACGTCAGGTCAGTCAGTTCTTCTATACGTATGGATCAGAAACTTGACGAGTCACAAAGAATATTTCCAACAGCCTGTTGCAGACCTTTATCAACAACTGTCTTCGCTCTGTACTACTGAAGTTCAGATGGCCGGAAAGAATCACCAACAAGAAACTATGGGAACAAACCAAACAAGAACCAATCGCCCAACAAATATGCAGGAGAAAGTGGAGATGGATTGGACACTCACTGAGGAGGCCGTTGGGTGACATCGCGCGTCAGGCCAGTGCTCGAGTGGAACCCGAAAGGGAAGCGGCGAGTGGGACGTCCAAGGGTGACATGGAGGAGATCGTGTGAAGAGGAGCTGAAACAGTATGGACTAACATGGACGCAGGTGAAAAGTACAGCAGAAGACAGAAACAAGTGGAGACGTGTAGTTGAAGCCCTACGTTCCACTAGGAACCCAATGGAACAATAATAATAACTTAATAAACAGCTATTACACTTTCTTAGTTTGGTTTGTAAGGATTAGTTATGTTTTACGAGTTGATCACGGACTGATATCAGTTAGAGAACCATTGAAAACCAGGGAGTACTGGACAGCTGCTGTTTCATCCTAGTTTGGGAATCATCGGCAGTACGCACCCACTGGTATACGAGCTTGCCTTGTAACCGGAAGGTCCTGGGTTCGAATCCCAGTGGGTGCGTACTGCCGATGATTCCCAAACTAGGATGAAACAGCAGCTGTCCAGTACTCCCTGGTTTTCAATGGTTCTCTAACTGATATCAGTCCGTGATCAACTCGTAAAAGCTATTACACTTCTTTTTTTAACTGAGTATATCAGAGCGGTGAGCAGAGCGATAATTCAGCTCAATATCTGACTAGTTCAATAAGGGTTTATTCCTGGATGACAGTATATTAGAGCTAAGGTTGGAGGGTGACATGTAAGAGATCGTGTAGGAGGGGATAAAAGCTTGTGCGTAATCATGGAGCCGACTAAAAAGGAATTCAGGGAAAAGAGTAAAATCGGCGATGTACTGCTGAAGCCTAGTGTTCTGCTAGGAACCCAGTAGACGGTTAATCGTAATAAACTACCTATTGTTATGAGTACCTGAAAATCAATAAATCCATAAATGGTTTAAACACCTTTTGGTCGTTTTAATCGTTTGCCAAAAAGCTCATCAGCCATGTACCCTTATTCTTTCCTGGTTTGCTTAAAAAGGACTATGTCACAATTCGTAGAATGCTGAAGACTGTCAGTAGAGTGATGAGTGGTGTCCCAGTGGACCACATAGTTAACGTCGTTGTCGATAGGCACTTGACTTTTTGCAGTAAATTTGCTAAAGGGATTTTGTCTGACATCCACTTCATCATCAGCTTTCACCTTGCATCTCCTCATGTAGAACAAGAAGTAACTTCAGAAAACTGTTTGCTCGCACGTCTAAGTATAAAAATTCTATGATAACATACTTGGCACGTATTTTATGTGATGAAAATAGCTTCAGGCAAGAATTGACTAACCTTTTTTCATCTAGTAAATAAACAATTTCCTCCATCCATCTATCCTTATATACCTTCAAGTTTTACTTTTATTATTTCTATTATATTTATGGTCCTGTTGCTTCTTTGTTTTACTTTCATAATTGCAAACATCAACTTATCTCTATGACTGCTGTAATCTTTGTTTTTTCCCTCACCATATCATGTAAAGAGAACATTATATTCAATATTTTTAATCATGCAAGGATTTCTATACCGCATCGACAATACTGTGTGAAACAAGCCCACGGGAATTTCCACTTGTATTATTATTATTATTACCTTAGCTGTTATCATTATTATTATTTCCATTTTATATGCTGCATATGTTTTTGACATTACCCCTATTGTAAATGTGGAAAATTTTCTGTGTGATTAATTTTTTTATAATTTGAGGAAATTAGATGCAAGATATTGTGATTAATGCTGAAAATTCCATTCTGTATTACAAGTGCTGTTTTTGGAATAAAGTAAATCATTATTATTATTATTATTATTAGATACAGCTTAGAGAATCGAATCACTTCACACTATCTGAATTCCACCGAGCTACTTCAGCCAATTAGTAGGTATAAAATACCAGGGGAAGAAGGAAAATCAACTGATGAGTTTGGGAAGGTACATCGATTTAGATGGATAGGACACCTAGTGTGTATGCCTACCTCGTTCAGCAATGTTAGCTGACATAGGACTTGCTTGGGAAAGAGTTGATAGTGGTCAAATCAAAATATGGAATCAATTCACAAAGTGTTCGACAGTTGATCTGAGCCATGTGAGGAGGTGTAGAGTGTCTAGTTGAGGTCTCCGAGACCTTAAAAAGCAATTGCTTCAGACTGTCGGTGATATTGTTCGAAATCGTTCTGACTGGTGCAGACGCATTCATTCTTTATGACCTCCCATGTCCACTGAACAGTTTTCCACCATGCTGTTCTTTCTCCACCACACTTCTGCTCATTATAGTTGTTTCCAGTTCCCTTTTCTCTAACTTTATGTGTTATATGGAGTGTGGCAAATTAAACTGCTTCACTTCTCTGCTAAGTTCTATGTTAAAACTCAGTCAGTCAGACAATCCGTCAGTTAGTAATGATTTAATATTATTACTGTTTTTGATGTGGTTGTGTTCTCTGAGCTGGATAGTTAATTTGCAAAGCTTTCATCGCCCTACTAGGTGACATCTTCAGCGCATCCTTCAGTTTGAATTGAAGTGAGCTATTCGATTTCTCCACGAATTTATTGGTCATCTCTCCTGGTTGGTGACCTTGAATGTCGTGATTAGTTGTTATTGTGTGTTTTCACACCCTCTAGGCCACTTGTATTGGTATTGGTGTTGATTGTTTCCTTGACTTGAACTTTGACCCTTTGTGTGTGAGGTTTCTTTCTTATCGGTTGATAAATTTGGTCTATCTCGATGTGTCTGTTGATTGATGATTCATTGGAATACCCGGCATTCTTGTTGTTTCCTCTGTCTAATATTTGAACATTGTCCCATTCGAACTAATATCCGTGGTTGTCTGTATGCAGTGATTAGAGAGAGGGAGTGGATGTCATGTCTCTTGACGGCATGATCAGAAGAGTACAGCAGGCTGAAGATGAGGCAGTAACTCATCGAAGCAGAAGACATTGTGAAGTGGTCGCGCTATCTCGTGTATCGGCAAAAGTTAGAATTCATGGGCTGGTCATTAGATCGGGTCCCAATGGCTTAATGGTCTACACGCTAGCTCACCTTGTAACCAGAAGGGCGTGGGTTCAAACACCGTGGTTTGGGTGCTTACTGATGAAGAGTCGCAAGCTGGGACGAAGCAGTTGTCTAGTACTCCCAGGTTTCCCAATTCTTCTCTAATTGATGTCAACTCATGATGAAATCCCCCAACCAATCAAACAAAATCCTGTCAAAACCAATAGTTGGGAGAGAGAGAGAGGGATGACAGAAAATAACCGAGTCTAGTTGGGGTATAATATATTTGTGCGTTGACGTTTCTGTAGCAATTTGGTTAAGTTTTCGGGGTGGAGTTGCTAGCACCACGCCCCAACCCTCCCTCTTTATCCGGGCTTGGGACCGGCTAGAAAACTAGCGAGCTAGAAATCTAGGCGAGGCCAATCACCATCAACGGGAGGGATTTGAAAGAGGTTACTTCATTCACTTATCTAGGAAGCATTATCTCAACTACAGAAGGAACGGACGAGGATGTCAAATCGACAATCGGGAAGGCGAGAAACACACTCATCAACCTGAAACCAATCTTGAAATCTTCGTCACTCAACTAAGCATCAACAACAAAATGATTCGGATTTTCAATACAAACGTCAGGTCAGTCAGTTCTTCTATACGTATGGATCAGAAACTTGACGAGTCACAAAGAATATTTCCAACAGCCTGTTGCAGACCTTTATCAACAACTGTCTTCGCTCTGTACTACTGAAGTTCAGATGGCCGGAAAGAATCACCAACAAGAAACTATGGGAACAAACCAAACAAGAACCAATCGCCCAACAAATATGCAGGAGAATGTGGAGATGGATTGGACACTCGCTGAGGAAGCCGCTGGGTGACATCGCGCGTGAGGCCATTGCTCGAGTGGAACCCGAAAGGGAAGCGGCGAGTGGGACTTCCAAGGGTGACATAGAGGAGACCATGTGAAGAAGAGTTGAAACAGTATGGATTAACATGGATGCAAGTGAAAAGTACAGAAGAAGACAGAAGCAAGTGGAGACGTGCAGTTGAAGCCCTATGTTCCACTAGGAACCCAAGGGAACAATAAATAATAATAAAGTTGGGGTTAAATCGCTGAAGCCGAGAATGAATTGTAATAACAAGTTAGAATCAAACTTTAAAAAGAAAGTAAAAAGCGTAATTCAATACTTGTCGTTAACAGGATATCTTGGTAATATATAAGTTGGATGATATGGTAGTTGATATTCAGTTGTTACATAAGATAATGGCGATAATGAAGGCCTTTTATTGTTTTCATTATTCATACTACTAACAGTAGAAGTAGTAGTAGTATTTGTATTAGGGATAGTAGCATTCGGAGTAGCATTAGGAGAAATAGTACTATTACTACTTGTATTATTAACAGTAGTATCTGTTATATTTGTTACACTGGCGTTAACTGTAGTAGCTTCACGATTTCTAACGCTGACAGTCTCTTCATATCCACAAGGTTGAAGCATACGATCAATAAATCGTTTAGTCTTTTCAAATGATGGACCAATTATCTCATCACTTGTCCAACTCATAATCTGAAAAGAAAAGAAGAATAAAAGAAAACAGGATGAAAGATGCGAAATAGTAGTTGGGCTTCAAACTTTACTATTTGGCATTAAATTACATTATCAGACAATTAACAAAACCAACCTTCAGTAGGGAAGTTAATCTGAACTATTGTTAAATGGTTGGAGGCGGTCAGTAGGCAAGAATGTCTGCTTTAACTTAGGTTGCTTGTGCTTATTCACACTCGTAAGTTAGCAAGGCAGGTGTATCAGCAATCTTGAAGGAACTTATGTCCTCCGTCTGAGATTCAAACCTGGGTCACCTAATGTTGAAGTTAGTCCGCAACAAAGGAACAACCAGACGTATGGCGCTAGTTACTACTTAAAATGCTCAATCAAAATCTTGCTGGTCAGAGAAAAACCTCATGTCTGTTTTGATAAATGCCAACACTCGTACAGTACCTACAATTTTATCATATAAGGAAGGGGTAACTTAAACGCTACGCTATATATGACCAAACCAAGTTCAATTTTAATAGTTTGAAAAAATTTCGGCATTGGGTATATGATATTCATTATAATAAAGGTTTTCTTGTATTTTCCAATGAATGAAAAAAACGATATAATTCTGTTTTTACTGACGTTTCGCTGTTTAATGCTGCTGCTAATAGCTTTATCAAAATAGTATTATTAAACCAGAATTGACAAAATCCACTCAGCTTATATGTAACAACTTAATCATCATCGTTCCTCAGTATGGGGTCATTTTTGCGTTATCAAATCGGCCAATTGGTAAAGAGTGACAAAACCAGGTGTAGATTGTTGGATTTGATAAGTGTGTAAAATTATAAAAGCAGCATGTGTTTACATAGTGAAATTGTTTATCACATTCGTGTTGATTTTGTCACTTCATGGGGGTCAAATTCTGTTTTAGTCCATCATTCCTATTCAGACAATTTGGATTCTATTCGATGACATGAACTGCTTCTGATATTCGGCGTTCTTTGTGATTTCTGAAATGCTTTCTCTGGATTATTTCAATATTGTCAAAAACAGTTTTGTGGCCTGATTCTATTGATCAGCGTGTAAACGACCTATGGCTGATGATTTTTCAAGCTTTTCTAGTTCACTAACTGAATTTCTCGGTATTTGGTCGAACAGAGGCGGCTCTACGCTGTTCATTATTCTTTCTGATCTTGATTCCTCTCTGGTGATGCTTGTCTTCCAATGTATATCACATCACATTCCTTTTTTATTTTGTAAACAGAATTAGACAGAGAATCTTTAGGGATTTGGTCTTTTATATGGGTATGGATTGGTAATACTCTGAGGAAACCATCAAGTGACATCACTAATAATAATAGTAATAATAATAATCACTCTATTCCACAACAAGTGACATCACTAGACAAGCCATTGCTCGAGTGGAACCCGAAAGGGAAGCGGTGAGTTGGTCGTCAATGCGAGGGCGACTAGAAGGAGGTCATGTAAAGAGGAGGTGAAAACGTGTGGGCAGACTTGGAGCCAGGTGAAGACTCTAGCAGAGAACCGAACGCAATGGAGACGCACGGCTGAAGCCCTATGTTTCTCTAGGAATTAAAGGAAACAATAATAATAAATAATAATATGGATAAGGTTGCTTTAAAGTGTGTGAGTCGGATGTTTTGAAGAAAACTCTCATGTCGAGCTTATTGAGTACTCTTCTGATATTGTCTAACGTCTCCGCTCTATATGAAATGATTGACCACAGTTGAGGTCCATGTTTTCGGAATACGTGTTTCGACCATACTTAATGTCAGTGTTCTTGCTTTATTCAAATTCATAAGGGGGGTGGGGGGTAAATCTATGAATTTAAATTTATTAGTTAGTTAGTTTCTTTGTCTCAAAGACACTGAATAATTATTCCTTACAATTTAGGTAAATATTGAGCTACCAATAAATAAACACTATCCTTCCTTGAAGCAATGAGAATGAGTTTATTTGGTGGATGGCAACAAACAGTGGAATCCTAGGCGGAACTCGTCAGCTAGATGTGCCTGCAATCCCCAGTGAGTGACGGTGTTCCCAACCTGGAGTCTGTTGTTTCAAACGCCAAAGAGTTATCCGCTAGACCACTTGGGCTAGGAGAACCACCTCTTGTGCAAACGGGTATCAATTATTATATCATTCAATTTGGACTTTCTTGCCAATTGATTCTGTCTGTTTTCGACATAGAACTTTGCACCGCACCTATTTGCAGCAGTTCAAGTCGCCATACTCACTCCATGTAGCACACAAAGCAAGAGAAGAAAGTAGGAGAAATGCATAATAAATATAGTAAACAGAGATGTGAGACAAAGAAATAGTAATAACGAAGAACAATATGGTTTCATTGGAAATCATAAGTCACAAGGAGTGGATGTATCTGCACCAGTCATTGAGAACGATGAGTTTGAGCCATGTCACCAGTTGTTTCCAGCCATTGGTGTTTACCGTCCCGAGGACCCCAACCAGTTAGAAAGTCTACACCTCCCTACATAATTGGCTTAAAATAACTGTTGTGGATTTCACTGACTGATGAAGCCATGTTTTGGTTTGACTGCCGCTAGCTCTTTTCCAGCCTGACCCTGTGTCAGTTAACATTGTCCATTGTCGAGGAAGGCCATGACTAGGTATACGTAACACATGCCCTAACCATCTCAGCCGATGTAGCTTCACAGACTCGTTGATTGATTTCCCCTCCCACTTACCTAGCACTCACTCAACCTATGCACAACCTCAATATTACTCACCCTATTATACCACTTCACACGGGAGATAGAACGCAGACACCTATGATCGAACACAACTAGCCAGCCTTTTCATGTCTTCCACCCTCAATGGCCAGATCTCACAGCCAGTACACCCGCCGTTTGGTCGATAGCTGGATATCACGTCTACGCCGATTGATTGGACCGAAGTACTCGGACTCAGGTTGACATATGGCCTCCTTGTGCAGACGCTTCAACTACGTCTGATCATCTAACTTGTAGTAAATTGGTAGATAGCAGCAAGCAGTTGAATCCTAACAGGGATTCGTCAGCTAAATATGCCTGCAATCTCCTAATCACGGTCAAATTTAGTGTTAATTTTCAAGTATTGGTTTTGTAGAGATTTTGTTTGATTGCATGGAGGATTTCATCATGAGCTGACATCAGTTAGAGAACCCTGGCAAACCTGGCAGTAACTCATCGAAGAAGACGTTTCGAAATGGTCGCGCTATGTCGTGAATTGGCAGAAGTTAGAATTCATGGACCATTGGATCGGATCCCAGTGGCTCAATGCTCTACGAGCTAGCTAGCCTTGTAACCATAAGGTCCTGGGTTCGGGCCCTGGTGGTTGCGTACTGATGAAGAGTCCCAAACCAGGACGAAGCAGTTGTCCAGTACTCCCAGGTTTTCCAGTGGTTCTCTAACTGATGTCAGCTCATGGTGAAATCCTGCATGCAATCAGTGTTAATTATTTCAAACATCCGAGACTTATCTATTTAGGTCACTTTGACCATCGATTCGTCGAAGCATCCGTATTACAAGCCAACATTGTCAACAAAAGTCAACAGGGAATGGAAATAAAATGACGTGAAACAAATTTTTTTTTAAAAAAACAACAAAATCAAGTGAATTAGCCTACTTACTCGAACTGTTACGTCATCAGTTGGACTATTCAAAGATAATTGTCTACCTTGACATTGATGAGAATTTTCCAGACTTTCCAATGTTTTCTCATATTCACCAAGTCGTAAATGATATTTATATAAGTACAGTCTTTGTGTTGAACCCATATTTTTATGATGTATACGTTCATCATAATGAGTTACTGTTTCACCGATTAACGTGTAAATCACACGATCACTTGTCTCCAATAAATCTGGATCCGTTTTTATAAGATTATAATAAGCACGTTTATTGTATGTGAAGATTAATCGATCTGTAAAACCGTCCAAATTGAATCGAATCTAAATATACACATGCACACAAATAATAAGAGTAATGGTTTCTTTCGCCAAAGGGATTATTAGGGAAAAAAATGCAGCAATGACATCATTAAAATGTATAAGTGGATGGTGACTAGCATTGGTGGAATCCAGGATAAGGCGCATTTCGTCCTGCTTTAGGACTCGTCAACTGGCTGGAAGTACTGTGGAATGCAGATACATCCAGTCAGTTGACGAGTCCCAAATAGGACGAAATGCATGTTATACTGGATTCCACCAATGCTAGTCACCATCAACCAGTTGAGTTCTAATAACATGCTGAGATATCGTCAAAGCATCTTATACAAGAAGTCGATATGCCAACCTGAGACCGAGCACTTTAGTCTAATAAGTCGAGGGGGAAATCTAAAATTGAATTAAATCATAAAAGTATGTTTATGATGTATGTATAAAATATATATATATATAGGCTTTTTCTCATTCCTTTGCGTTCTAAGTGGAATACAGAACTTCACTTTTGGACTTGCTAGTCTCACGCCTCTCAAACTACCCTCTTTATCGGGCTTACTAATACTGGCGGCTAAATGTGGTTGGGAAATGCGTCAGTGAGGGATTTAAACCCCAGACTACTTTCTGAATGATTGGCGAACATTCTATGTAAATTTTACATAAAATAAGAATACAATTTAAATCAGCAACAGTAACAACAACAGACAACAATCAGCATAAATCGGAGAAATCTGAAAGAAGCAACCTCCATTACCTACCTACCTGGGAAGCATCGTTTCAAATACTGGCGGACAGAACTGATGAAGATATGAAAGCAGCGAGGATCGGTAAAGCAAGGCAAGCTTTCATTTCTATCAAGTCTGTGTGCAGGTCAACACTCAGCACTCAGAATCAAAAACAAGATCCGGATTTTCAACTGCAATGTGAAGTCAGTCAGTGCTAATTACTATATGGATCAGAGACTTGGCGCCACGCCGCGTCACGAAGGCCACATCGAACAAACTACAGACCTTCATCAACAGCTAACTGTCTTTGCTCAGTATTACTCAAGATCAGATGGCCGTCCAGAAAACACCAGCAACAGGGGCCTCTGGCAGTGAACGAACCTACCCAGCAGGAAACTATTGTGCAACAAATATGCAGGAAGAAATGGAGGTGGATTGGCTGGCCATACTCTGAGAAAACAAACCATCAAATGAGTGACATCACAAGACAGGCCATCGCTCGAGTGGAACCTGACCGAATTGGAAGCCGTGAGTTGGTCATCAGTGCGAGGGTGACTTGGAGGAGGTGATGTGAAGAGGAGATGAAACCATGTGAGCAGACGTGGAGCCAGGTGACAACGTTGACGGAGAACCGAACGCAATAGAGACGTGCGTCTGAAGCCCTATGTTCCTCTAGCAACTAAAGGAAACAATAATAATAATTTGAAAATTCCCATTCAGTCATAGAAAAGAAAAGGCGTTCAGCAAAGAGTTACTCTTTTCGGCGATATCATTCTCAAGCTGTACAAACCGCAAATTTATAGTAATTTTTCTTGGCAACAAAAAGAATATTTCCAAAGATGTGTTAATGCACTTGTTAATTTTTGACAACAAATTATGTAATTTAGAAGGCATGAAAAATAAGGTTCGGATGTTCAACTCCAATGTGAAATCTAGTCAGTGCTACTATACGGATGAAATACTTGGCCAGCACGTCATAAAGAGCATCTCAAACAAACTACAGACCTTCATTAGCTGCTGTCTCCGCTCAATACTCAAGATCAGATGGACGGCCAGAAATGATCACCAACAGAGATCTCTGGCAATGAGCGAACCAACGAGGAACCGATTGTGAAACAAATAGGCAAGAAGAAATGAAGATGGATTGGCTGGCCATACTCCGAGGAAACCGTCAAGTGACATCACAAGACAGGCCATGGCTCGAGTATAACCCAAAGGGAAGCGACGAGTTGGTGGTCAGTGCAAGGGTAACATGGTGGAGATCATGTGAGGAGTAGGAGGAGGAGATGAAAGCTAACAGGCAATCGTAGATCTAGCTACAGAGTGGAATGGAGATGTGCTGCTGACGCCCTGTGTTCCACGTGGGACCCGAAGGAATAAAATTATTAATAATAACCGTAATCATAAATGTTTCAGATTTGCACTATGGTTGGTAAATTATCCGGAAACAGACAAACTGTCACAGCAGCTGACTGTAATGGACAACAGTCGATTCTCAGACGTCAACATTGTACGGCTTACCTGCTGATTTGCACGGCCTAGTTGATTATTACAGAAGACACAGTGATACGATTAGGAGGTGTTTGCAAACAGAGTTATTATTAAGAACACAAGTGATTCAGCGAAGAGACTCTTTTCAAAAACGAATTTATTATCAAGCTGTACAATCGTATATATATGGTTTTTAAGAAATTATATCCGGTGAGGGAATTAGGTCAAAGGTGTGAATACATGAAATAATAATAGTATGAAATGCAATTAAAATATTTGTGATTATAATCATAGTTTAATGTCAAGTAGCAAAATAATTAATGTCGTATATAGAATTATACATAAGGTGTATAGATTTTTTGGAAAGGGGTACATAATTACAAGATTAGTAGACGAATATAAATGTTACATAACATGGTGTGAAATTTGATAAGATAGAATTCAATATTATAAAAATAAAAATATAAAAATTAATAATTTTGGGTTTAGAATGACAAGTGGGACAAGTGGAAACAATTCAGAGTGAGAATAGTAATAATAATAATCGTAGTAATAAGGGAAAAGTACATAGAATAACTAAATAAACAAAATAAATAAATAAATGTCTATCCCTCTATGGCCAAGGCAGAAGTAGGGATTGTACATACTTCTTTTGTACACAAAGGTCTGGCTTAAAGTCATGAATTGCCAAGGCCTCAGCTGTCTTTAGAAGTCTGTAACGAAGAAAACGCGGCCGGGAAGTTAGCATGGATTCTATATATGATCTTAAAATCATGGTCAGGGTTGACAGAGTGACAGAAGTCGATCAGGTGTTCTAGAATAGAGGAGCTTCGCACACACTTTCTTTCTCCCTTGTAAAACCATGCTGCTGGAATGTGTTCTCGTATCCATGTGAGTTATTATTATCATTGTTCTCATGAGTTCCGAGTGCGACATAGGTCTTCAACAGCTCATTTCCATTTTGTCCTGTTCTTTTCTGTCCTCTCCATTTGGTCAACACGATCTCCTCCATGTCGCTCAATTCGTCGTTTCCTATTTACCGTCCACTTGAGGACCTGCATTGCGTGCGATGTCATTCGACGGTCTCCTCTGTGTGTACCTAATCCATCTCCATTTCCTCCTACGTATTTGTTGAGTTATAAGCTCCTCATTGGCTTATTCCTAGAGTTTGTCGTTACTAATGCTTCCTAGTCAGCCAGCCAGCTATTCGATCTTCAGTATGGAACCAGCAAGGGGGCAGCTATTGATAAGAGTCTGAAGTGACCCTTTGGAAATGCTTTCCGTGACGTGTCAGTCACATTTCTTACCCATATGGAAGCATTAACTGACTAATTGATTGATCCATTCGCAGAAAACCGACATGGAGTGGACAACTCATCAGCTTTCACAGTTTGGTGCCTCTATATACAAAACGAAATCTAATCCGCTCACTGACTCACAGAATCCACAACATTCGCAGTCCGGAAACTATAGAAGAGGGGCTGAAGACCCTGAAAAGAATCCTCCCTGAAAACGGTTACCCGGAACGTTTCATCACAAAAGCTATGAAGCCCAAAACACAAAAACCGTCCATGCTTACTGCTCCCAAGAAACTTCTCTATTTGAATCTACAATTCAACGGAGATTCTTCAGCAGAAATACTGAGAAACCGCCTGTGCCGTTCACTGAAGAAAACCTTCTTCGCAGCTGAACTCAGACTAACTTTCTCTACGAAACCAATGATTCGCACGAACTTGAAGGACAAGCTTCCACTGGGGGCCTCATCAATGTGCATCTACCAATTCACCTGCTCATGTGGAGCTAGGTATGTCGGCCGTACCCAGCGTTTGCTATCCAAACGAATCAGCGAACACTTACCTTCATGGTTTTATAAAGGAGAAAGAAGATCCCCTTGCCAAAGCTCTATCTTAGAACACTTGATCGAATCCGGACACCAAGTAAACCCACAAAACAACTTCTCAGTTATCTACACAATACGTGTGAATCTTGCCAAAAGAGTACGAATTAAACTTCTTCAAACTGCAGAAGCAATGGCAATTCACATATTGAATCCTGAACTCTGCATACAAAAGAAGTTTGTTCAGTCACTAAATCTACAATGGTCCTGATCCATCTCAACACCAAATACGTAATTTTGTCTTACCTCTTTCTTCTTTGTTTGTCTGTTTCTTAATTGCATTATTTTCTACCCCCACCCTCTATTAAATCTCTACCCTCATGACGACTGTTGCTAACTCCATTTTCGTTTATCTTTAAGTGAATTCTACTCAGCTTATCAACTTAACTCTCATTCATTTTCAAGTGAATTCTACTCAGATTATTAACTTGACTCTGATTCATTTTTCATTGAACCCTAGCAATTAGATTACGTCACCCAACCTACTTTTGTAACTTTATTTTAGTTTCTAACCGATTAACGCCTTCTAAATTACGTAATTTGTAGTCAAAAATAAACAAGTGCATTAACACATCTTTGGAAATATTCTTTTTGTTGCCAAGAAAAATTACTATAAATTTGCGGTTTGTACAGCTTGAGAATGATATCGCCGAAAAGAATAATAATAATGAAATCATCTCACAAGAAGCCAGAATGGGAAAAGTAATACACATCTCCATTACTTTGTAATTAGTGTGGAATTCTACTGTACTCAGCATACGAAACAATACCTGGATCTTCAACCATAAAATCAAATCACTCATTCTATGCGGTTCAAAGACTTGGCTCATTCGCCAACAAAATCATTTCAAACAAGATTTGGAAGACTTTTATTCAAAGCTACCTTCGTTGACTGAAAATTGGAAATGAGGTAAGCAGAAAAAATATAAGCAACAAAAAACTCTGACGAATAGCAAACCAACCAAGAATCTTTTGCTCAACAAATGCGTCAGAGAAGATATGGTGACGCTTAGGTGACCTGTGAGTGAAATTATCAACGATGCCCTTAAATGATGTCCTAAGGCGACAAACAGCGGACAATGAGGAAATAGGCATAAAATGAACACACAAAAAAACTTGGAGAATCTGGACTTCGCCGATGATATATGTCTGATTTCCCACAAACTGGAAGATATGCAAGCGAAAAGCAACAACTTAGGAGAAAAAGCATCAAAGATAGGACTTCAGGTGAACATAGAGAAAACAGAGGTGATGAAAATTCCTGGGCAACACCACCGACAGCAACAACAACAACTGACAACAATCAGCATAAATGGGAGGAACCTGAAAGAAACAACCTCCTCCACCTACCCTACCTGAGAAGCATCGATTCAACTACAGGTGGATGGAACTGACGATGGTATCAAAGCAAGAATCGGGAAAGCAAGACAAGCTTTCACTACTCTCAAGTCTGTGTGGAGGTCAACAGCACTGAGCATCAAAAATAAGATCCGGATTTTCAACTCCAATGTCAAGTCAGTCAGTGCTACTTACTATACGGATCAGAGACTTGGCGCGTCATGAAGAGCATCTCAAACAAACTACAAACCTTCATTAACAGTTGTATTCGCTCAGTACTCAAGATCAGATGGCGAGAGAAAATCAGATCAGCAACAGAGATCTCTGGCAATGAGTGAACCAACAAAGCGGGAACCGATTGTGAAACAAATAGGCAGGAAGAAATGGAGATGGATTAGCTGGCCATACTCTGAGGAAACCATCAAGTGACATCATTAGACAAGCCATCGCTCGAGTGGAACCCGAAAGGGAAGCGGCGAGTTGGTCGTCAGTGCTAGGGTGATTTGGAGTAGGTCATGTGAAGAGGAAATGAAAACGTGTGGGCAGACATGGAGCCAGGTGAAGACTCTAACTGAGAAGCGAATGCAATGGAAACGCACGGCTGAAGCCCTATTTTCCTCTAGGAATTAAAGGATACAATAATAATAATAAGAGGAAGCGACTAGTTGGGCGTGCGTCCAATTTTTTCTTCAAATTTTATTGCTTTGCGTTCCTAGTGGAACACAGGGCTTCAAGCTGGGGCTCTGACGTTTCGGTAGCAGCGGTCTCATTTTTACGGGGTAGGATTGCTAGTCTCACGCCCAACCTTCCCTCCTTGCCCGCCTTTTTATTAGATAAGAGATGTTTAGGAGTGCGTCAGCCTGGGATTGAACCCCGGAACACCTGAAAGGATGGAAAGCATTCTCCCTGTGCGCCACAGACGTCCGATAGTGTCATGAAAAAGTTTATGTAGGGGGTAAGTGTAAACTTGTAGTTAGGCAGGTGTGTGGAGCTAATAAAATTGATTTCAGGGGATAAAAATAAAGGAAAACTTACATCACACAGAGATTCATTACAGTCTAACTTAATAAAACATCCAGTACCATCAGCAAATTGTATTTCTGCAGTTTGTTCATCTAGTGGTACATTGAAAACCACAGTAAATCCAGAATCAACTTTCAACGCATCAACGGACTGGTCATCTTTATTCAAAATCAATAAAAACAAAATTACCAAAATATAAAATGAAATTTTTAAAAAGAAATGGAAGATTATTTACAAAAAAAAACTAAAAATCGCTATTAGTCAAGCATAACTCAGCAACAATATATACTACTAAATGATTGAAATAAGTAGTTACATATCAACCATATCAAACAGTGGTGTTTGCTAGTGTTAATTCCAACCTTATTATCCCCCTTGTCATTCTTCTTTTGTGTTAAAATTCATACTACTTATTTCTAGTAAGTATGTTGTACTTGTATTTGTTAATTCTTAACCATGTTTTTATTTGCTATTGAAGTATAACTCACTCGGTGTAGTACTAAATGTATAATAATAATTTTCTTATAGTCGAACATTATTTGCTGTATTCGTGCTTTATTCGTGTACTGAGTACTGTTGAGCATTGTTTATCTGTATCCCTTTATTCTATGTCTGGCATTCGCGAGCTGTTTAAATAACATGTGGATTATCTTTGACACAACTCTGCTGATTTTACTTATTGTCGCACGCTAACCGTGCTTTTTGATGGCAATCAGCCACAGACACCACACAATTGAGGTTTGTGTAATGTATTCCACATTAGGAATACCAAAAAAGGTCAAAAGCAAAATAAAAATAATAGTGGAACTAATAAGGATAACATAAATAAGAAAGAATATAAGGCATCTACAGTACTTTTACCGTAAAAGTAGGGAGAGGATATCTGAGACCCTACGTAGGATTCTCAACAAAGCAGGAATTAGGGTTGCATTTCAACCTACAAACTCACTCAGGTAGGAAAAGTTCTGTAAGTAGGTTAAAGAACCCTGTAGGTTGACCCAATTAGACAAAATGATATATAATTTACAAAATACCTTTCAGTGACTGTGAAGGAGGTCAACTACGTGGATCAAACTAGGAGGTCGGAGGTAATCAGACTGTCAGAATATAAGAATTTAACCAAGGATAGAATGATTGATCCCACGAAGATAAGTAATTTAGAAAAACAACTCAGCAATCGCACTGCACGCATTAACACACAACCACACAATGGGGTGGGACAGAGTTAAAATCCTAGAAAGTAATATAGGTAGGTGGAGAGTGAGAGAGATTGATTCCTTACTGAATCCTGGTTCATCGAGTCTACACCCAACACATGCAACAGAAGCGACTCAATGCAAATAAGAGGATAATAAATAATCTTAAAGTGTATTCAATTCACATTATAACATTCTAACAAGTTATTTATTTTACTTTAAAAACATCTTATTTCCCATCTGATTGTATTTGATTGATGACACTCATATTATTATTTCTGAATGTGCATTATCTTATATTGATTTTATTCAAATGTTTTTTTAAGCATTGGTTTTGTAGGGATTTTGTTTGATTGCATGGAGGATTTCATCATGAGCTGACATCAGTCATTGAACCGCTAGAAAACCGGCTTGGAGTACTGGACAGCTGTTTCGTCGGCCTAGTTCGGGACTCTTCATCAGTACGCACTCACCGGCAGTAACTCATCGAAGAAGACGTTTCGAAATGGTCACACTATGTCGTGAATTGGCAGAAGTTAGAATTCAAGGACCACTGCATCGGGTTCCAGTGGCTCAATGGTCTACGAGCTCGCCTTCTAATCAGGAGGTCTTATTCAAATGTCTAATCAACCTTTACTCATGTATATAAAGGAAGCAAGAAAGTTGTGTGAGCACCTTAACATGATTATGAGTGACAGTAATTTGTGCTCGAAACGTGGTCATCAGTTAATATTACTGTATAAAACACTGTGTGATTTGTCAAAATGAAATCTTATCCTTAATGCAGTTATACTCTACCACAGTGCCCAAATTTTATACTCATTCAACATTTTATGTTTAATATAATACAGTATTTTAGACAAATCCTGTGTTTGCAGATTTTACGCATCACTCAACGTGTTGTTTTTTATAATCGTTCGATTATCGTTCCGAATTTCTTTTGGAAGAAATTCACAACTAGCTATTACTGAACAAATATGTAACCCTTTATTTAAAGGAAACTTACTTTGGTTGTGTAATACCTTTCAAATAATAATGATTCCCAGCTATACGTCTGAGTTAATTTCAATATGGAAAAAGTCCACATTTAGAAATTTAGAAAGCAAAAAGATTGAGCGAAGAAACATTTACTTTTCAATTAGATCCTCTTCTCACTCTGGCCGTACTCTAATATACACGTATAGCATTTTTATTACAATACATAACAGTTTACCAATCAAATGGCATTGATATGTTTGTTAACAATAATTAGTCAGTATCAACATGTCGGCGGCACAGCGGTTAGGACGCTCGCCGACCATGCACATGGTCCGGGTTTCGATCCCCGGCCGACGCACTCCTTTACCTCGCTAAGCCGGTAATAAAGCTGGTAAAGAGGAAAGGTTGGGCATGAGGCTAGCAACCCCATCCTGTAAAATAAACACTGCTACAGAAACTTCAAGTCTCTAGCCTGAAGCCCTATGTTCCACTGGGAACGTGAAGGAATAAGAAAAGAATATTATCTGCGTGTGCTCACGTAAATTCCGCAATAGATTGTTAAAGAAAATAAAACGATTTGGACAATCATAACTTGTAACTAAGGCTGAAGTGGTCATAAGAATAAAATAATTTGGAAAATTATAAATTTCAAAGGTTTAGGGGGAGGAAGCGAAGTAGTCTGGTTTATTCTATCTGCTGATCTTTCCTGGTCGTCTCATATCTTGACGATTTCTAAGAAAATATTCCGTCTTACCTTCTACATCAAGAAGTTAAGACATTCTGGAATAACCCAACCCTTACTCCTACAATTCGTTAATTCTCGCATTCTACCTATTATTCTCTATTGTTCCCCTTTAGTTTTTTCCGGGCTACTGAAGAAAGACTTTACCTTGCTACGCAGGATGTTAAAGGTTGTCAGCAGGGTAAGCAACGTGCCAATTACCCAGCTTGTTAATATTCTGGTTGACAGGCACATGGACTCATGTGAAAAATGGGCCAAATCCATTTTATCTAACTCACACCCTCACTCTCCCCTTGTATCTCATCAGGTAAAACCAGAAGCCTATATAGAAAACTATATGCTCGCACCAGCAAGTACAAACACTCAACCATACCCTACTTAGCTCATGTTGTGTGCGATAAAGAAAGCATTAAGCGTGACACCTATAACTTATTAAATAGTTAGTAGAACAACTGGACCTCGTCTTTCCAACTCATATCATTTATAGGTACAACGTTTTCTTTCTTTCTTTTCCTTTTCTCTCTCTCTTTTTTCCGTTATATGATGCTTTGTTTCTTTCTCTCGCTTACGCCAGTAAATACGGCAGCACCTACTTTTCTAACGCCTTCAAACACTGTTCAACTTTGGCTTTGCTACCGACATGCCAATATGTCGTTGTCATAATGAATTGAGATTTCTTTAATCTATGTAGAATTCTATTTATTGATAATGTACTAGCTGGATGCAATACTGTAGTAAAAATAATGCTGGGAATTCCATGCTGTATCACAAGTACTGTTTTGGAATAAAGCAAATTATTATTATTATTATTATTATGTTCATGTAACGATGGGCAAGGTAAGCAAAGTTGTTGTACAAATTTCTACTGAACACATGCGCAAGTTTCGTTTCTTCTTCGTCAGGTGGATTCCTATTGCTTCAGCTGTAGGTGTGTAGAAGACGAACTCGTAAAGGAAAATTTAAGATTAGTAGGAATTTCTCATAAATTCATAAATATATTCATCTGTACTTTCCTCTAGCTATCAGATGGACAAATCCTATTTTCCATTATGGATAAAATTGTATTTTGATAAAATAACACACAGGGATATTATACAGTAATATTTACTGATGACAACGTTTTGAGCACAATTTATTGCTACCCATAATCATATCACAACTTTCTTGTTTCGTTTATATACATGAGTAAAATTGGTTAGATATTTGAATAAAATCAGTAATATAAGATAAAGTACATTGGGAAATAATATTAGTGTTCTCAATCAATTACGATCAGATGAGAAATAAGACGAGTGTTTTTATAGTCAAAATAAGTAACTTGTTAGAGTGATATAATGTGAATTGAATACATCTTAACATTATTTACTATTCATTATAAATTATTTAAATTAATCCCAGCGTGTTAAGAAAATCAAAATAAGATTTTTCTGAACATTTCGCTGTGTAAGCCACAGCTTCTTCATCAGATTTATTCTGATTTTTATTAATCATCAAAACGTCCAGAAAAATTTTGTTTTCATTTTCTTAACAGGCTGGGATTAATTTAAATAATTTATAGTGAATCAATCTGACTCGGCGCTCAAATCATACCAGGAAGTTCGTAACACCTACGGCCTGGAAACCTATAATATTATTTATTATTCTCTGATTTGACTGGTAACATTATCTTCTATATCTCTGGTATTTGCATGGAGTCATTTCTGTTGCATGAGTTGTGTTGGGTGTAGACTCGATGAACCAGGATTCAGTAAGTCATCAATCTCTCTCGCTCTCCACCTACCTACCTGTATTACTTTTTAGAATTTTAACTCTGTCCCATCCTGTTGTGTGGTTGTGTGTTAATGCATGCAGTGCAATTGCTGAGTTTTTTCTAAATTACTTATCTTTTCGGGTGGGATCAATCATTCTCACATTAGCTAAAGGCTTATGTTCTGATAATTTGACTACTCCGGATCTACTAGTTTGACCTATGTAATTGACCTCCCTCACAGTCATTGCAAGGTATTTTGTAAATTATATTATTTTGTCTAATTGGGTCAGCGTACAGGGTCCTTTAGCCTACAGGGCTTGTCTATATCTCATGTATATAAACGAAGCAATAAAGTTGTGTGAGTGAATACCTTGATATGATTATGAGCAGAAATAAATTGTGCTGGAAACGTGGTCATCAGTTAATATTATTGTACAGCAACACTGTGGGATTTATCAAAATAAAATTTTATCCATAATGGAATGATACTCTACCTACCACAGTACCCATGATTTATTCTTAAATCCTATTTTCAACCAACCTTACTCAGAAATCAGTAAAAATTATATGCCACTAATAATTTAATGTACCATATTGGAATGGACAAGCTTCTTAATTAGCCATGAAGTCGTGATTTAAACATGTACTGAATGTAAACCTTGTTAGACAATTTTGATTCGTTTATTTATGGCTTAATTTTCTGAGGGACTACAATGCCATACAACCAATCAGATTTGTTTTATTCATGGATTAAATTCCTGAGGTTTTACATATACACCGGGTATTTTGCTTGATAAAAGTTGTTACTCTGGTCACCGTTTTTCTTAGTCTGTGACGTTTGCACCTAATCTCAGTGTGTGGGAGATAATTTTAGGTGGGCAAGTGTTGTGTTCTGGTATTATTATTATTTATTATTGTTCCCTTGGGTTCCTAGTGGAACATAGGGCTTCAACTGCACGTCTCCACTTGCTTCTGTCTTCTGCTGTACTTTTCACCTGCATCCATGTCAGTCCATACTGTTTCAGTTCCTGTTCACACGATCTCCTCCATGTCACCCTTGGACATCCCACTCGCCGCTTCCCTTTCCGGGTTCCACTCGAGCAATGGCCTGACGCGCGATGTCACCCAGCGGCCTCCTCAGCGAGTGTCCAATCCATCTCCACTTTCTCCTGCATATTTGTTGAGCGATTGGTTCTTGTTTTGTTTGTTCCCATAGCTTCTTGTTTGTGATTCTTTCCGGCCATCTGATCTTCAGTATAGAGCAAGCGAAGACAGTTGTTGATAAAGGTCTGCAACAGGCTGTTGGAAATATTCTTTGTGACCCGCCAAGTTTCTGATCCGTAAAGCAAAATTGACTTCACGTTTGTATTGAAAATCCGAATCATTTTGTTGTTGATCAGAGTTGAGTGACGAAGATTTCCAGATTGGTTTCAGGTTGATGAATGTGTTTCTCGCCTTCCCGATTCTCGATTTGACATCCTCGTCCGTCGTTTCTCCTGTAGTTGAGACAATGCTCCCTAGATAAGTGAAGTGAATGAAGTAACCTCTTTCAAATCCCTCCCATTGATGGTGATTGGCGCTGGATGTTGCTGCTGCTGTTGTTGTTGGTTGGTTATTTTCATAACCTCCGTCTTGTCTATGTTCACCTGGAGTCCTGTCTTCTCTGGCTGCTTCTTCGACCAGTTTGTCGGTTTTCGCTTGTAAGTCTTCGATTTTGTGTGACATCAAACATAAATCATCCACGCGCGAAATCCAGGTCTTCTAGGTTCTTCACGTCGGTCCAGGATATCCCTGTCTTCTCGTTTCTCACTGTCTGAAGCATAATCCAGTCCATCACAATTAGGAATATCATTGGTGATAATAAGCACCCTTGTCTGACTCCTGTGTTTACTCCAAACGCTTCGCTGAGTTTTCCGTTGTGGATCACTTGACATATGCCGTTGTCGTACAGCTGTTGAATAAGGTTGATGAATATTTGGGGTAGGCCGTAGTACTCGAGTAGTTTCCAAATAACTTCGCGGTCAACGCTGTCGAAGGCCTTCTCAAAGTCTATGAAGGAAGTTGAGGTAGAGGTTTGATTGCCATTCCATGCTTTGTTCGATGATGATGATGATGCGTAGAGTTGCAATTTCGTCAGAACATGATTTGCCTTTCCTGAATCCAGCTTGTTCTGGTCGGTTGTGTTCTGGTGGCCTATTCTAGTCAAGTCAGACGAACCTACACACGAACCTTCCCAGTATCACTCCATCATAACACAACACTACAAAACGTTATCATTTAAAAAGACAAACAAAGGAAAGCCAAACTCACATCTTCTTGGAGTAGTGCTTGAATTTATACAAATCATTGGACCGTAGACTTCAGAATACATAGGTGTACGTGATCTAAATAATTTAGGCATAAAAATTGTAATATAACAATTTAGTTAAGAATTTCATGAATGCTTACTGCCAATCATCTTGACTGTTGTTCGTAATCTTGAATTATAGGAAATGTAAATTACGAACAGGGCCCAATTTTTACTCATGGTGACTAGAAATGAGATCCAGGATGTTCATTTGTCCTTTTTGGAACTCATCGGCCGGATTTACCTTCATTCCCAACCATAAAGGGTTAAGCTGTATCGTTTGAAATGATGGGTGATTGGTTCGAGACTCGGTGTGAACAACAACATAATTCACTGGAGAAAAAGTTATGTCCGGATGATGAGGCCCAAATAGGACGAAATGCTCATTCTGGATACCATTACTTGCCACCTGTACCACCCAACAGCATCATGTTAGCCTTCAGAAATAATAAAAGAAAACATCCGAATCAGGAGCAAACTTATCACTCCAGACCAAGTGTTGCTGTCTAGGATAATAGGACAATCGGAAATGCAAATTTAATCCACATAATCAGGAATAGCCTTGATCTAAATGGTTTGCTTTTCTAAACTATGCATTTCACCGATCTTAGCTTCGACAGTTCGTGATGAAGAAGTTAAAATTTAAACACCCAACAAACGCCAATGCACCAATGACCTTGGGACACTCCTCCAAAGCAAGTCAGTGAAGGTTAAGGGTAGGTCAGTCCTAGGGAGAGATTAGGGTTAAATTAACCTTATTACGGAGATATTAGAATTGGTTCTGGGTGGATTAGAGTTAGATTAGGCATAGTGTGAGGGTATAGGCACAAATTCGCTTTTCAGAGCAATTTCTCATTCGAAGGTTATTGGTGCAGCTGCGCTCCTTTAGTGCCTAAAGTTGAACATGACCACTCTCATGATACCGATTGGCTTCTCACACCTTAAGAGACAGATTGTTTGACAAGATATAACAGACCACTGCATAAAAATGTACCACTTTAAGTTACCATCGTGCGTAAGAGCACATATTGAACGGAAAGAAGAATTATGAAACTCCAGAACGAGATGAATGAGAGACAGAGAGCAACTCGATGAAATTTAATGCGTATTTTCAGAATGCAGATGTCATACAATCCTAATTTAGCCTAAACTTGACTTCATTGCCTCCTGAAGCTGGTGTCCCTCAATGCGCTGTCCTTTCTCCTTTTCTTTCTTCTTTCTTCTTACAAAACTTGCCTCAGTCTCATGAAATAAACTTTGTGAAGTACGCTAATGATTTAACAATTTCAATGGCTGTTAACTCCCAGCTAGATTGTACCAAAATAAATAGCTTTCTGTCGGAAGTCAGTAAATGGTCTGAGTCTAACGGTCTTAAACTAAATCCTTCTAAATATCAAACTGTTAATTTCAGCTTAAGATGTAAAAGACAGTTAAAAGAAGCCGTCAATTCTCATGACAGCTGTAAGATTGATGACAATGATATAAGAATTAAATCAGAAATTAAGTATCTTGGACTTATTCTCTCTTCTGATCTCTCCTGGTCTTCCCATATCTTAGCGATCTCCAGTAAAATATTCCGCCTGACATTTAACATTAAGAAGTTGAGGCATTCGGGTATAACTCAACTCCTCCTCTTACAGTTCATAAACTCTTGCATCCTACCTATTCTTCTTTATTGTTCACCCTTATTCTTTCCTGGTCTGCTTAAAAAGGACTTTGTCACAATTCGTAGAATCCTGAAGACTGTCAGTAGGATGAGTGGTGTCCCAGTGGACTACATAGTTAACCTCGTTGTCGATAGGCACTTGACTTCGTGCAATAAATTTGCTAGAGGGATTTTGTCTGAATTGGATCATCCACTTCACCCTCAGCTTTCACCTTGCCATCTGCTCAGTCAGAACAAGAAGTAACTTCAGAAAACTGTATGCTCGCACGTCTAAGTATAAAAATTCTATGATACCATACTTGGCACGTATTTTATGTGATGGAAATAGTGTCAGGCAAGAATTAACTAATCTTTTTTCATCTAGTTAATAAACAATCTCCTCCATCCATCCATCTTTATATACCTTCAAGTTTTACTTTTATTATTTCTATTATATTTATAGTCCTGTTGCTTCTTTGTTTTACTCTCATAATTACAAACACCAACTCATCTCTATGACTGCTGTAATCTTTGTTTTTCCCCTCACCATATCATGTAAAGAGAACATCATATTCAATATTTTTTAGTCATGCAAGCATTTGTATACCTCATCGACAACAATACTGTGTGAAACAAGCCCACGGCAATTTCCACTTGTATTATTATTATTATTACCTTAGCTGTTGTCATCATTATTATTTCCATTTTTTGACATTACCCCTATTGTAAATGTGGAAAATTTTCTATGTGATTAATTTTATTTATAATTTGAGGAAATTAGATGCAATATTGTGATAAATGCTGAAAATTCCATTCTGTATCACAAGTACTGTTTTTGGAATAAAGTAAATTATTATTATTATTATATTTTGCAGCTGCTGCGTAAGATCTCCTGTGTATCCCAATCATTATGAACGCTGGACGCACAGTGATTGCTGGCTATTAAAGTTTCTGTGCTCTGGGGAGAAGGTGTTAGAAAAGGTTGACCCCATGAATTGTACATTCCGATTCACTTTGTGGCTGGATATGGTTGCTAGCCTCATCCCGCTTAACCTTCCCTCTTGAACGAGCTTACTTACTACCAACTAGGCGAGGTTTAAGAGTGCTTAGGCCAGGAATCGAATCCCGGGCACATTTCAGCGTAATTGGCAAGCTGGATAGTTAATTTGCGGGGCTTTCATCACCCTACTGGGTGACATCTTCAGCGCATACTCCAATTTGAATTGAAGTGAGCTTTTAGATTTCTCCACGAGTTTATTAGTCATCTCCCCTTGGGCGTGATTGGTTGTTTTTGTGTGTTTTCACACCTTCTAGGTTACTTGTATTGTCACTCATTGTTTCTTTGACCTGAACTTTGACCCTTTGTGTGTGAGGTTTCTTTCTTATCGGTTGATAAATTTTGTCTATCTCGATGTGTCTATTGATTGATGATTCACTGGAATACCAAGCTTCTAAAAATTCTCTAGCGTTCTTGTTGTTTCCTCTGTCTAATATCTGAACGCTGGTTGTCCCAGTCGAATTGATGTCCGTGGTTGTCTGTATGTAGTGAGGCGATATGAGCGAGGGAGTGGATGTCATGTCTTTTGACAGCTAGCTTATGTTCGTGGATACGAAGACGAAGGGGATGTCCACTTTGGCCAATGTAGTGTTTTTCGCAGTTGATACAATCTATTTTGTAGATGATGTTGCTTTTATCTACTTTCGCTGTTGAGTCATCAAAAGACATATACCCCCAAGCCAACCTATCAAACCAAAAGCCCCCAAGGAAAGCACAAAGAAAATCGCCTTACCATATATAAAGAATATATCAGAAATCAATACAAGACTCTTCAAACCTTTAGGAATTGACGTCGTACGCAAATCAACAAAGTCACTTCACTCAATTCTATGTCAACCAAAAGACTCAACAGCGAAAGAAGATAAAGCCAACGTCATCTACAAAATATAAATTGTAACAACTTCGAAAAACACTACATTGGATAAAGTGGACGTCCCCTTCGTCTTCGTATCCATGATCATCCAAGCTAGCTGTCAAAAGACGTGACATCCACTCACTCATATCACTACATACAGACAACCACGGACATCAATTCGACTGGGACAACGTTCAAATATTAGAGAGAGGAAACAACAAGAATGCTAGAGAATTCTTAGAAGCTTGGTATTCCAGTGAATCATCAATCAATAGACACATCGGAATACACAAAATATACCAACCGATAAGAAAGAAACCTCACACACAAAGGGTCAAATTTCAGGTCAAAGAAACAATGAGTGACAATACAAGTCTAATAAAAAACCAATCACTTTCAAGATCGCCCACCGGGAGAGATGACTAATAAACTCGTGGAGAAATCTAAAAGCTCACATCAATTCAAATTGAAGTATGCACTGAAGATGTCACCCAGTAGGGTGATGAAAGCACCGCAAATTAACCATCCAGCTCAGAGAACACAACCACATCAAAATTAGTTGTCCTTAAATTGCCCCCCGAAACCATTTAATTTGCGCACCCGTAATAGCCAGGAGGAGAGCCAGTTAAGGCCTGTATCCATTCACAACCACAGTCGTACTAATCAGTTTAGCGAATTGAGAATAATGAAGATTAAACACTTAGATAGATGACAGATGAAAAAAGGTGGTGCAGTTTAGAGAAGAACATGTGTTGCACGTGTTTGACAATGTGATATGGATTAGTTGTTTTGGGTGAGTGATACTGGTGTTGAACAATAATGGTGATAGGATGATCAGAACTCCAATGACAAGACAAGCCCCAGTAGCGCAGTAGGTTAGCGCGTCAGTCTCATAATCTGAAGGTCGTGAGTTCGAGTCTCACCTGGGGCACGGCTTTTCAACTCAGATCAGATATACATCCTATTGGACACCCGTGAAGATTTGACATTGAAAGTTTCCAGCGTCTTTCAGTAAATAACCCCAGCGAATTCCTATCAACCGTTGAGATGGACCTGTGTCAATCGGTGAAATTCCTTTCTCAAAGAATTCAATACCAATCAGCGAAGGACCTTGAAAGCACCAGTCACATGGAACAATCTATTCTTGGGTATGAAATTTTTTAATTTAGTTTAATTTTCTTCATTATAGCTTGATTTTACACAGTAGATTTATGAAAAAATGCATAAAAACTGTGTAAATGTGTTACACAACCGATAAGAAAGAAACCTCACACACAAAGCGTCAAACTTCAGGTTAAGGAAACAATCAGTACCAATACAAGTAACTTACAGGGTGTGAAAACACACAAAACAACCAGTCACCTTCAAAGCCACTAGGAGAGATGACTAATAGTGAACTCGTGGAGAAGTCTAACAGTCCACTTCATCAAATTGAAGTTTGCGCTGAAGGTGTTGCCTAGTAGGCCCATAAAAGCTCCGCAAATAAAACATCCAGCTCAGAGAACACAACCACATCAAAATCATCCACCTGAGCTACAAATCTTCTCTATCATATCTAATTGGCAAGCCTTCTACCGCTGAACTACTCACGCATTACGTTACATATACGTTATGTCATCAACATTATTATTATTATTACGCAAGAATCAACTCACTTAACAGCAACTGAATGATATTTATATAAACTATTAGATAATGGTGAAAATGGTTCATTATCAAAAGAAAATTGAAATTGTTTAAGATCCATATCGCCTAAATCTGGTTCAACGATTCCCTTGATCATATCACAATCAATCTAAATCAATAAGAGGAAAAAAGAAGAAAAAACATAATCAAAACAAATTTAACAATATGAGCGATCTAACACACTTCAGCGACTCAGGGATTGACTTGCTACCATCAGGGAATAATCTCGTCGACTTAGAATATGCGGACGATATAGTCCTTCTAGGCGAGGACGCTGACAAAATCCAGCAGAGTCTACTGAACACCTTGAGCAACAATCTTCGTATGTTTGGCATGCGATTCGCCCCTGTAAAATGTAAGATGATGCTGCAGGATTGGACTTCACCGACCCCTAGATTAGAAATAGGAAGTGAAGTGGTAGAGCACGTTGACCGCTTCACTTACTTGGGAAGTAGCATCAGCCAGTGCCAACGGGTTGATCTCCGACGAAATCTCAGCACGAATACAGAGGGCTAGGTTCGCATATGCCAGTTTACGCCGTCTCTGGCGTAGACGTGATATCCGACTATCGACCAAAGGGCGTGTGTACTGCTCAACAGTCCGCTCCGTCCTCCTTTATGGCTGCGAGTGAGACATGGCCATTGAGAGCAGAAGACATGAAAAGGCTGGCTAGCTGTCTTTGATCATAGGTGCCTGCGTTCTATCTCCCATGTGAAGTGGTATAATAAGGTGAGCAATATTGAGGTTAGACGTCCAGTGCTAGGTAAAGAGTGTAAATCAATCGACGAGGCTGTGAAATTACATCGATTGAGATGGTTAGGACATGTGTTACGCACGAATGCCTAACCATCGCCTTCTTCGACAATGGGCAATGTTAGCTGATATAGGGTCAGGCTGGAAAAGAGCTAGCGGCGGTCAAACGAAAACATGGCACCAGTCAATGAAATCCACAACAGTTAGTCTAAGCCACGTAGGAAGGTGTAGACTTCCTGACTGGTTGGGGTCCTCGGGACGGTAAAAACCAATGGTTGGAAACAATTGGTGACATGGCTCAAAATCGTTCTCAACGACAGCGCAGATGCATCCACTCCTTGTGACTTATGATTTCCAATGAAACTGTTTTGTTCTTCGTTATTACTATTCCTTTGTCTCACACCTCTGTTTACTGTCTCTATTATGCATTTCTCCTACTTTCTTCTCTTGCTTTGTGTGCTACATGGAGGGAGTGTGGCGACTTGAACTGCCGCACATATGTGCAAAGTTCTATGTCGAAAACCGACCAACCGACCGAATGTATTATGAGTTTGTCTAATGTAGCTACCCAGAATTTGTGTGGTTTCAATTAATTCTTCTCCCTAAACTGAGTCAAAATGGCGGGCACCACTAATGAGCTCCATCGCAAACGTGAGAAACAGCTATCTGGTGTTTAGATCAGAAGGCTAATTTCGCATATGCCAGTTTATGCCGTCTCTGGCTTAGTGGACGTGATATCCGGCTAAGTGTGAACCGAAAGACGTGTGTACTGCTCAGCAAAGCAGTTCGCTCCGTACTCCTTTATCGCTGTGAGTGAGACCTGGCCATTGAGAGTAGAGGATATGAAAAGGCTGGCTGGGTGTCTTTGATCATAGGTGTCTGAGTTCTATCTCCTGTGTTAGGTGATATAAGAGGGTGAGTAATATTGAGGTGAGACATCGATGGAGTGCTATGTAAGGAGAGGAAATCAATAGATGAGGCTGTGAAGCTACATTGACTGAGATGGTTAGGATATGTGTTACGCACGCATGCCTAACCATCGCCTTCCTCAATGAGCAATGTTAGCTGACGTAGGATGGATCAAGTTGGAAAAGCGCCAGTGGTGGTCAAGCCAAAACATGGCTTCATCAGTTAATGAAATCCACAAAAGTTAGTTTAAACCAGTCAGCCACCCACGTAGGGAGTTGTATACTTCCCAACTGGTTGGGGTTCTCAAGATGGTAAAAACCAATGAAGGCTGGAGATAATTGTTGATATGGTTCAAAATCGTCGTTGTCAATAGCTGGCGCAGATGCATCCACTCCTTGTGACTTATAATACCCTATGATAAATTTGAATAAGGCATTTAGAAGACAAATTTCGCCAGATGATATCGCCATTTCGTAGTTTCTTTACAACCGCTTTTCAACAAACATGGTTAACAATAATAATAAAGTTCATGACAATTACTCAGTTACACAAAACAAAAGTACATACTACTAATGACCAATCATCACATTTAAATAGGTCAAGTAGTCAGTTCATGGTAGGCGAAGGTTGAAGTCTATTGTGTTGTTTGTGCACACATAGTTTAGGAAGTATGTGATTGATCCAAATTTAGGATAGACCACATCTCGAAAAGACAGCTTCTGTACCAAAGAAAGCTATCCATCTTTATTAACCTACCATTTAAGGGTGATCAGATTATGCAGTTGACAGCTAGCTCAACGATACTTCGGTCAGCTACCAAGCGCACACATTCTACGCCACATCACTTTTCCTCACATGCCGAACAATTTCGATCCCTCTACCTATGATAAAAGGACAACATTCTGTAGAGTCTACTTCAAACTGTATCTACAAGTTCACCTGCAGTTACGGTGACACCTATATAGGTAGAACCAATAGAATGTTCCAGTGTTGCGGTCGAAAACGACATGTTCCAAAATGGTTACTTAATCATATAGAAAATCCCAATGCAATTAATCTGAATATAAATCCAGTATCAACCACTGCAAAGCACTAATTAATGTCAGGTCACAAAATCAATAAAAGTTAATGACTGTTTCATAATTATTTCATCACATAACTCTAATTCAAGGTTGGTTATTGAAGGTGATGGAAGCATTTTGGCGGATTAATCACATACATCCTGAACTTTGTGTACACAAACAACACAATAGACTTCAACCTTCGCCTACCATGAGCTGACTACTTGACCTATTTAAATGTGATGATTGGTAATCAGCAGTATGTACATTTGTTTTTTTCTATAACTGAGTAATTGTCATGCATTTTAATTTATTTTAATATTGTGAACCATGTTAGTTGTAAAGCGATTGTAGAGAAAAACTACGAAATTTGTCTTCTAAATGTCTTATTCAAATTAATGAATATTCTTTTTTGTTGAAAACGCTTAGAACATACTATTCTATTGCCTCCAGGCCACGGCGTCTATAGACAGTTATTTTGTACTCAATTTCTAAATTCCCATTTGAACATTTAGAAATCACAACAAGTTGAGCGAAGAAATAGATTCATTTGATTTTTACGAATTTGCCCACGGATTGTTATCAGTTAGAGAAGCACTGAAAACTAGGGAGTACTGGACAGTTGTTTCCTCCGTCCTAGTTTGGGAATCATTGACAGTACGCACACACATCACGGTTGATTTCGAACCCAGGACCTTCCGGTTACAAGGCCAGTGAGCTCGTATACCATCCGGCCACTGGGACCCGATTTCTCAATGGCCAACCCATGAATTCTAACTTCTACCAATTAGTGATGCATTTAGCGTGACCACCAACCAATGTCATCAGTGGGAAATCTATCCTCACACATCTGAGATTAGTTCGTCATAATCGGCTGGCTCTACACTCATATACAGATTTGTTTTACATCAAAGTTTTACCAATCAAGTGGTCAAGTGGTTGTAAAGAAACTACGAAATGATACCATCATCTGGCGAAATTTGTCTTCTAAATGCCTTATTCAAATATGAATAATCTAATGTATTATGAGTTTGCCTAATATAGCTACCCGATGATATGTGCCGATGATATATGTCTGATTTCCCACAAACCGGAAGATATGCAAGCGAAAAGTAACAAGTTAGCAGAAGAAGAATCTAAATGAGATAGGACTTCAGGTGAACATAGAGAAAACAGAGGTGATGAAGATTCCTGGCCAACACCACCAACAGCAACAACAACAACAACTAACAACAATCAGCACAAACGGAAGGAACCTGAAAGAAACAACCTCCTTCACCTACCCAACTCGGAAGCATCGTTTCAACTACAGGCGGATGGAACTGACGAGGATATCAAAGCAAGAATCGGAAAAGCAAGACAAGTTTTCACTACTCTCAAGTCTGTGTGGAGGTCAACAATACTCAGCATCAAAAATAAGATCCGGATTGTCAACTGCAATGTGAAGTCAGTGCTACTATATGTATCAGAGACTTGGCCAGCGCGTCATAAAGAGCATCTCAAACAAACTACAAACCTTCATTAACTGCTGTCTTCTCTCAATACTCAAGATCAGATGGCCAGAAAAGATCAGCAACAGAGAGGGATCTCTGGCAATGAGCGAACCAACCAGGAACCGATTGTGAAACAAATACGCAGGAAGAAATGGGGTGGATTGGCTGGCCATACTCTGAGGAAACCATCAAGTGACATCACAAGACAGGTCATGGCTCGAGTGTAACCCGAAAGGGAAGCGGCGAGTTGGTCGTCAGTGCAAGGGTGACTTGGAGGAGGTCATGTGAAGAGGAGATGAAAAAGTGTGCGCAGACATGGAGCCAGGTGAAGACTCTAGCAGAGAGGCAAACGCAATGGAGACGCACGGCTGAAGCCCTATGTTCCTGTAGGAACTAAAGGATACAATAATAATAATAACAATAATAATAATATAGCTACACAGAATATGGGTTGTTTCAATTAATTCTTCTCTCTCTGAACTGAGTCAAAATAGGGAACACCACTAATGAGCTCCACTGCAAACCTGGCTAATAGGCACTAGTCGTTGAGCCGTATGGCGTTCAACTACTCACAGCAGTCTATGAGTAGTATATAGAGTCATGCACTTATTATTATTATTATTATTATTATTATTATTATTATAGTTCTTCTGCATTTCATCCCGTTCTTTACTAAGTGTAATAATGAACAGTAATTAAAAAAACACATTTATAAATGATAATCTAGGTCATTGACTACCTTGAAAAAGTCTTCGATGGCATTGACAGTGAAGTGATTTGGAAACTGCTTCAAAAAACTACGGAGTATAGTGCCGCAAAGCCTTATCAACCTAATTCAGAAGCTATGTAAGGATGCTACTTTTCAAGTGATTCGCAACAGAAAACTCAGCAATATCTTTGAAGCGAGCACGGGAGTAAGATAAGGTTCTGGTAGACTGGGTAAGGCGGCAGACAGTGCATGGAGGACAAGAAGGCAGGAATACATTGAGCCAACAAGAAAACTCTAGAAAGTTTTTACTGTTATGATAGAGAAGATCTGTAGCTTAGGTGGATGATTTTGATGTGGTTGTGTTCTCTGAGCTGGTTGGATAGTTTATTTGCGGAGCTTTCATCGCCCTACTAGGCAACATCTTCAGCGCATCCTTCAAATTGAATTGAGCTTTTAGATTTCTCCACGAGTTTATCAATCATCTCTACTGGTGACTTTGGACGTGATTAGACACAAAAACGACTAATCACGTTCAAGGCCACAAGGAGAGATGACTAATAAACTCGTGGAGAAATCTAAAAGCTCACTTCAATTCAAATTGAAGTATGCGCTGAAGATGTTGCCTAGTAGGGCGATGAAAGCTTCGCAAATTAACCATCCAGCTCAAAGAACACAACCACATCAAAATTTGTACTGTATCACACAAACTCTAAAATCTACAGGCGAAAACCAACAAAGTGGAAGGAGAAACGGACAGCGAAGACAGGAATTCAAGTGAACATAAAGAAGACAAAGGTGGTGTAGATAGCTGACCAACAAAAATAACAGGAAGCATCAATTACCATCAACAGGAAAAATCGGGAGGAAGTTGCTTCTTTTCCTCAGCTGGATGAACAGCATCTTTTCAACTACAAGCGGTGGCACTGATGAGGATGTTCAAGCCAGGAGTGAAACGCAAAAGCAAGATGGACTTTCATTATTATTATTATTTCCTTTAATTCCTAGAGGAACATAGGGCATCAGCCTCACGTCTCCATTGCATTCGGTTCTCTGCCAACGTTCCCACCTGGCTCCAAGTCTGCCCACATGCTTTCATCTCCTCTTCACATCACCTCCTTCTCCTTCATGTCACCCTCGCACTGACGACCAACTCGCCGCTTCCCATTCAATCGGGTTCCACTCGAGCGATGGCCTGGCGTGTGATGTCACTCACTTGATGGTTTGTTTCCTCAGAGTATGGCCAATCCACCTCCATTTCTTCCTGCATATTTGTTGCACAATTGGTTCCTGCTGGGTTGGTTCTTTCATTGCCAGAGATCCCTTCCCGGTTGCTGATCTTTTCCGGTCAGCCATCTGATCTTGAGTAGTATTGAGCGAAGACAGTTGTTGATGAAGGTGTGTAGTTTGTTTGAGATGCTCTTTATGACGCGCTGGCCAAGTCTCTGATACATATAGTAGCACTGACTTCACATTGGAGTTAAGAATCCGGATCTTATTTTTGATGTTGAGTGCTGTTGACCTCCACACAGACTTGAGAGTAGTGAAAGCTTGTTTTGCTTCCCCGATCCTTGCTTTGATATCATCGTCAGTTCCTCCTGTAGTTGAAACGATGCTTCCCAGGTAGGGTAGGTAAAAGAGGTTGTTTCTTTCAGGTTCCTTCCGTTTATGATGATTGTTGTCTGTTGTTGTTGTTGCTGTTGGTGGTGTTGGCCAGGAATCTTCATCACCTCTCTTTTCTCTATGTTCAGCTGAAGTCCTATCTTCTCTGGATGCTTCTTCTGCCAACTTGTTGCTTTTCATCACTTGCATATCTTCCAGTTTGTGAGAAATCAAGATGTTCCAAGTTTTTGTGTGGGTTCATTTTATGTCTGTCTCCTCGTTGTCCTGCCCTCTGTCTGTCGCATTATCCAGTCTACCTCAATCAGGAGAATCATTGTAGATAGTAGGCAGCCAGCCAGATTGTCTTACTCCCGTCTTCACTTCTTCGAAAGATTCCGTGAGTTTCCCGTTGTGGATTACTTGGCATGCAGCATTGTCGTACAGCTGTTGGATGAGATGTATAATTGTCGGTGGCACCCCGTAGTAGCGAAGTAGTTTCCAAATCACCTCTCGATCGACGCTGTCAAAGGCCTTTTCAAAGTCGATGAAGTTGAGATAGAGAGGTGACTGCCATTCCAGGCTTTGTTCAATGATGATCCGTAATGTGGCGATCTGATCAATGCATGACTTGTTTCTCCTGAATCCAGTCTGTTCCGGTCGACGTTTTTCATCCAGGGCATGTTCGATTCTCCCCAGGATGATGCGGCTTAGTATTTTGCTTGGGATGGACAAGAGCATAATTCCGCGCCAGTTCTTGCATTGACTTAAGTCTCCTTTCTTTGGTAGTTTGAATAAGTATCCTTTCTTCCAATCCTCGGGTACCTTGCCTTCCTTCCACACCTTCTCCAGTAGTGGCGTCATCAAGTCCGCTGTTGTCTCTGGGTCCATTTTCAATGCTTCTGCTGGGATTCCACCTGGTCCTGCTGCTTTTCCAGCTTTTAGCATCTTGATTGCCTTCAGGACTCCTGATTTCGTCGGGGGGTTGGTGTTCACTGGTAGCTCTGTCTCCGTTGTTGGTATTGTTGGGCGCGTTGTAGGTGGTGGTTGATGTAGGATTCTTTTGAAGTGTTCAGCCCAGTGTTTCCTTTGCTCCACTTCTTTGGTGAGTGGAGCATGATAGACTTTTATTAATGTAAAATCAATGTGTAAATTGGCTTCACTCAGCAGTAAGAACAAGATCCTGATTTTCGCTATTAGTATCAAGTTAGTCACTGCTTTTATATGCTTCAGAGATTTGCTGTGTCGGTTACAGAAAGCATTCCTAACCGCCTTTTGCAGACTTTATCAATATCTATCTTTTCTCTGTTCTGGAGATAAGTAACAAAAGACTCTGGCAAGCAGGGAATTAATCAGTATCCTATTGTAACAACAGAAGACAAGGGACAGGCAACACATCGTTTATTTAGGAAATCAACAGGTATTTATAAATTTTCATGTACATTATTATTCGTGATTATTAGCAGAGAAATATCGTCTTCTGATTGATGGTTTCTCGCTGAATGTTAATCTTTCATCTCTGTGTGGCCGTTTCTTAAAGTTCAGATTATCTGTCTGCAAATTGTATCCACCTACTCAAAGTCTGCTGTGATTGATTGTTGAATCAGTCTTAGTTCTTGTTCTTTTCTCATGACCAATACTGGGGACGTAAACATTGACGTAAATAACTATCTACTAATTTTGTCTAGCGGATTGGCCATACTCTGAGGAAACCATCAAGTGACATCACTAGACAAGCCATTGCTCGAGTGGAACCCGAAAGGGAAGCGGCGAGTTGGTGGTCAGTGCAAGGGTGACTTGGAGGAGGTCATGTGAAGAGGAGATGAAAACGTGTGGGCAGACATGGAGCCAGGTGAAGACTCTAGCAGAGAACTGGAGGCAATGGAGACGCACGGCTGAAGCCCTGTGTTCCTGTAGGAATTAAAGGATACAATAATAGTAATAATAATTTTGCGTAGCAGCCAGCTCTCACCACACTTTCTATCACCCAACAAATATGTATAAGGAATCAGAGATGGATTGGACAAGAATGCGCCGGGAAAATTCTCGAAAATAGAATCAGAATTAGAATTGACGATCCAAGTGTCATCGCTGTGAGAGTGATATAGAGGAGACAGTATGAGGAAGAGATATAAAAGCTATGAGCGGTCATAGAGTCGGCTCAAAAGGACTACCGAGGTTATAGGTTAAATCGACATGTGTCACCGTATCATACAATAAAAATTTTAATAATAATAATAATTTGCTTTATTCCAAAACAGTACATGTGATACAGAATGGAATTCTCAGCATTTTACTACAGTATTGCATCCAGTTAGTACATTATCAATAAATAGAATTCTACATAGATTGAGGAAACCACAGTTCATTATTACAACAATACATTGGCATGTCAGTAGCAAAGGTAAAGCTGAAACAGTGTTTGAAGGTGTTAGAAAAGTGGGAGCTGTCTTATTAACTGGCGTAAGCGAGAGAAAGAGACAAAGCAGCACATAACGGAAAAAGAAGAGAGAGAAAAGGAACAGAAAGAAAGAAAATGTTGTACCTATTAATGATGTGAGTTGGAAAGACGAGATCCAGTTGTACTACTGACTATTTAATGAATTATAGATGTCACGCCTAATGCTTCCTTTATCACACAGAACACGAGCTAAGTAGGGTATGGTTGAGATTTTGTACTTGCTGGTGCGAGCATATAGTTTTCTATATAGGCTTTTGGCTTTGCCTGATGAGATGCAAGGGGAGAGTTGTGAGTGAAGAGGGTGGTGTGAGTTAGATAAAATGGACTTGGCCCATTTTTCACATGAGTCCATGTGCTTGTCAACCAGGATATTAACAAGCTGGTTAATTGGCACGTTGCTTACTCTGCTGACAACCTTTAACATCCTGCGTAATATGTTATAGTCTTTCTTCAGTAGCCCGGGAAAAACTAAGGGGGAACAATAGAGAATAATAGGCAGAATGCGAGAATTAACGAATTGTAGGAGTAGGGGTTGGGTTATACCAGAATGTTTTAACTTCTTAATGTAGAAGGTAAGACGGAATATTTTCTTAGAAATTGCTAAGATATGAGACGAACAGGAGAGATCAGCAGATAGAATGACACCTACGTATTTAATTTCCGATTTAGTTTCTATTTCAGTGCCGTCTATGTTGCATACCTCGTGAGTGCCAAACAGTTTGTTTAGGTCAGATTTATGCCTAAAGGTGAAATTGACTGTTTGGCATTTGGAGGGGTTTAGAGTAAGACCGTTTTCCTTGGACCACTGGCTGATTTCTGACAGGAAGCCATTAAGTTTAGAGCAGTCGCTTTTACATTTGATAGGCAAAGATACAGACAGATCGTCAGCATATTTGACAAAATTAATGTCATTTGAAGATGGTAAGTCATGTAGAAAGAAAGAAAAAGAAAAAATTTATCCTAAAATCATAAGCAAATACTATTTAAGGTTTCTTACCAATGGATTTGTAAATTCTAATTCAACTTCAAAATGAAATGTTTTCATTGATATCAATTTAGGCTCCCCTGTGATTACTGCTACTACTACTACGTCAGATTGATTGTTTTTAGGACTTTGTGTAACTGTTTCATTTGTTGCAGTGTCATCTAATTCACCTGCTGTTGTTGCTGCTGTGTCATTCGTTGGTGTATTTGGCGGTTCAGTATCATTCCTTCCGGTTGATGCTAGAATATCACCAATCGCCGACAATTCTTCTGCTGAAAGTCCTGGTGGTGATGGTTGTGGTGGCGTTGGCAGTTCGGTTGATTCTCCTTCAACTTCTGCTTTATGTATTATTTTTGATTTAGGTTTCGGTTTTTCCGGCATAGATTCACCAGGTACAAGGGTCTCATTTTCTCTATGGGGTGTTTTATCATCCTGTACTGATGGTTTTGCTGCCGCTGGTGCTGGTTTCGGTGGTGTTGGTGTTGATGTTGTTCCATTTGTTCCATTTGCTGGAATTGTTGTTGTTGTTCCAGTGAGTATTTCATCTTCATCTTCATCAATAAATTCTGTTGTCGATGTTGTAGTTACAATTGGTTTCTCAGGTTTCGGAAGTAGAGTTATATTGATTTTAGAAATAACAATATCTACAAAATATACAAGAATGTAAATGTTAATAACAACTCAATAAAAGTAGTATAATAATAATAGTAGTAGTAGTAATAAAAATAATAATGAGATTATACATCTCATCCAAACAGTTGTACGACATTGCTGTATGCCAAGTAATCTACAACGGGAAACTTACGGAATCCTTCGAGGAAGTGAAGACGGGAGTAAGACAAGGGTGACTGGCTGTCTGCTATCGCCAATGATTTTCTTGATTGCAGTAGATTGGATAATGCGACAGACAGAGGGCAGGACAACGAGGAGACAGACATAAAATGGACACACACAAAATACTTGGAGGATCTTGATTTCGCCGATGATATATGTCTGATTCCTCACAAACTGAAAGATATGCAAGCGAAGAGCAACAAGTTGTGGCAGAAGAAGGATCAAAGATAGGACTTCAGGTGAACATAGATAAAACAGAGGTGACGAAGATTCCTGGGCAAGAACAACAACAACAGAAACGATCAGCATAAATGGGAGGAACCTGAAAGAAACAACCTACCCTACCTACCTACCTGGGAAGCATCGTTTCAATTACAGGCGGACGGAACTGACGAGGATATCAAAGCAAGAATCGGGAAAGCAAGGCAAGCTTTCACTACTCTCAAGTCTGTGTGGAGGTCAACAACACTCAGCGTGAAAAATAAGATCCGGATTTTCAACTGCAATGTGAAGTCAGTCAGTGCTACTTACTATACGGATCAGAGACTTGGCGCCACACCATGAAGATCACCTCAAACAAACTACACACCTTCATCAACAACTGTCTTCGCTCAATACTACTCAAGATCAGATGGCTGGCCGGAAAAGATCAGCAACTAGGAGGGATCTCTGTCAGTGAACGAACCAATCCAGTAGGAACCAACTGTTCAACAAATAAGCAGGAAGAAATGGAGGTGGATTGGCTGGCCATACTCTGAGAAAACAAACCATCAAGTGAGTGACATCACACGCCAGTCCATTGGTCGAGTGGAATTCCATTGGAATGGGAAGCGGCGAGTTGGTCATCAGTGCCAGGGTGACAGCATGCAGGAGGTGATGTTCCATTCATGTATAAAAATGAAGTAAAAAGTTGTGTGAGTGTGAGTGACTTGATATGATTATGAGCAGTAATAAATTGTGCTCGAAACTTGGTCATCAGTTAATATTACTGTACAACAAACACTGTGTGACTTTATCAAAATGAAATCTTATCCATAATGGAGTTATACTCTACCACCACAGTGCCCAAGTTTTATACTTATATTAGTAAAATAAAATTATAAAGTAAGCACAACTAAATAATAAAAAGAGAAGACGTTCAGTGAAGAGACTCTTTTCGATGGCGAATTCATTCACATAGCTGTACAATCGCATTTATATATAATTATTTGTGTGTGTGTGTGTGTACATGAGGTTTGTCAAGTTTAGATAATTAATCAGGTAATACAAGAATGATCTAATATAGAAACAAGGTTAATTAGACAGCAACTAAAGTAAGATTGAGTTAGTTAGTAAGTTAGATGACGTAATATAATTGACTAAAATGTTTCAACTTAGGTCAGGATAGCAACAGAGGTAATTACAGGTAGAGATCAAGTAGAAGTGAAATTGAGCAAATAAGTTGGATGACGTAACATAAATGACTAGAAATTGAGCGTTGTTCAAGTCAGTAACAGTGGTAGTGAGGTGTAGTCTTCTACAGAAGTAGTCTTCCTAAAGGTGTACGAATCAGACTTCTTCAAACTGCAGAAGCAATGGCGATTCACTTGCTATAAGTCCTGAACTCTGCATACAGAAGAAGTTCGTTCAATCACTACACTTGCAATGGACGTAATCTATCTTATTACCCAACAGGTAAATTCTACTCAATCTTTTTTCTCTTCTGTCTCTTCATTAGTATTATTTTGTCTTTACAATTGTAATATTTTACATTTCCACCCTACTTGTTCTATACCCCCACCCGATTTAATTTCTGCACCTCACTTCCACCGTTACTGACTTGAACAACGCTCAATTTCTAGTCATTTATGTTACATCATCCAATTTATTTGCTCAATTTCAGTTCTAATTTAAATGGCATTATTCTCTACCCCACTTCTACTTGGTCTCTACCTGTAATTACCTCCGCTGCTATCCTGACATAAGTTGAAGCATTTTTCTCAAATATATTTCGTCATCTAACTTACTAACTAACTCAATCTTACTTTAGTTGCTGTCTGATTAACCTTGTTTCCATATTAGATCATTCTTGTATTACCTGATCAATTATCTAATCTTGACAAACCTCATGTACACACACACACACACAAATAATTATATATAAATGCGATTGTACAGCTATGTGAATGAATTCGCCGTCGAAAAGAGTCTCTTCGCTGAACGTCTTCTCTTTTTCTTACAACTAAATAAATAAATAAATTTTTGGAAAAACACTTAATCACCTACCAGTTTCTTGTGTTGTCTCTTTAATACCACTTGTAATTTTACAACTGTACTGATGACAGAAATCACTTAATGATTTCATTATTGAAATATTGAATAATTCATAAACACTTTCAAAATCTGTCCATTTCTAGAAGGATAAACAAGAACAAGAAAACGACGAAAAAGAAGCAATTAAACAGACGACAAATTAACCAAAACTATGAGCATTTTATGTAATTTTGTAGGGGTTTAATTTGTTTTAGATATGATAACGAAATGATATCAGTTAATGGACAGTTGTTTCGTCCTAGTTTGAGACTCTTCATCGGTATGCACTCAAAACCCCAAGAACAGGGATTGGATCCACGACTTTCATGATAAAAAAGGTCAAGCTCGCTGACCATTCATTCAGTTGGGCTGGAATTAAATATCCCATGAATTCTAACTTTTATCAATTATTTCGAGATACATAAACTTGGAGCTCAAGTCACTGTCCTCATACTTCTCAGGAGAACTCTAGATAACTTCATCTTGCAGGTGCATCCAGCCAGTTGACGAGTCCCAAATAGGACGAAATGCGCGTTATCCTGGATTCCATCAATGCTAGTCACCATCCACCAATCAACTTCTAATTACATGCCCGTATATCGTCGAAGCATCTGCACAAGAAGCCAACATGTCAACCTGAGACCAAGCACTTTGGTTCAGTCAATCGACGGGAAAATCTAAAATTCAATTAAATAATTAATATGACCCGTTTTACAAGAGGTGATGGCTCTCGTGGCCAAATTGGTCTAGTGGATAAAGCTTTGGTGTCTGAAACTATGGGAACTAGGAACATTGGCACTCACTGCGGAATGCAGGTACATCCAGATGACGAGTCCTAAATAGGACGAAACGCATATTATCCTGGATTCCACTGCTAGCTATCATCCACCAATTAAGTTATTGGAGAGAATCAGATTAATTTGCAAGAGTCAATTTATGGGGACTTAATTTTTTTCAAGTGTGATAATGGACTGATGTAATTAATTTCACTTTTAATCAATAACAGACATCGGTTGTTTTCCGTTAAATCACGAAGTGACTGACATCAGTTAGAGAACCTTGATACTGAACACCACAGAGTACGGGATAGCTGTTCTATTCTATTTTCGGGCCTATTAGGCAGTATACACCCATCAACTTCACCCGGGGACGGACTCAGAGATGTACGGTCACCACTGCCATGGTATCCGATGACTCACGAATTTTAACTCCCACCGAAATTTGCCATACGTATATTGGTTAGAGGATTTCATCATGAGCTGACAACAGTTAGAAAACTATTGTAAAACCACCCACAGAATACTGGACAGCTGTTTCGTCCTAGTTTGGGACCCTTCATCAGTATGAACCAAACCAATCAAACAAAAAAAATATTCCCTACAAAAACCAATACTTGAAAATCGGTCTGATGCTCACTAGTGATTGGCCATATTCAGGCAGTTAACCCGGGGTTCTAGTGGGAAGCCGTGACCAGTGGGCTACAGCAGGTTGAAGCTGAGGCAGTAACTCAGCAAATACATTACGAAATGGTCGCGCTATGTCGTGGATTGGCAGAAGTTAGAATTCATGCACTGACTGGTCATTGGGTCTGGTCCCATTGGCTTAATGGTTTACGAGCTCGCTAGCCTTGTAACCAGAAGGTCGTGGGTTATAGCCTGCGGTGTGGGTGGGTACTGCTGAAGAGCCAGCCCCAAACTAGGCTGACGAAACAGCTGCCTAGTACTCCCAACTGGTTTTCCAATGGTTCTCTAACTGTTGTCAGCTCATAATGAAATCCTTCAACCAATCAAACAAAATTCCCTACAAAAACCAATACTTGATAATCCTATGTGTCAGCTAACATTGCTCGATGAGGGAGGCGGTGGCTTGAAATGCACAATACGTGTCCTAACCATTGATTAATCGATGTATGGGACATTTTGAGGATCAATCCAAATGACCTTAGATGATTATTCAGCTAAGAAATAGAAAAGTATAAAAGTTTCATAAATAGTTTCTTGTTGACCACTCCATCTTCACCAAGTTTACCAAACAACAATGTATGGAGGATTTCATCATGAGCTGACATCAGTTAGAGAACCACTGGAAAACCTGGGAGTACTGGACAGCTGTTTCGTCCTAGTTTGGGACTCTTCAGCAGTACGCACCCACCGGGATTCGAACCCAGGACCTTCTGGTTACAAGGCGAGCTCGTAGACCATTGAGCCACTGGGACCCGATCCAATGGTCCTTGAATTCTAACTTCTGCCAATTCACGACATAGGACCATTGGATCGGGTCCCAGTGGCTCAATGGTCTACGAGCTCGCCTTGTAACCAGAAGGTCCTGGGTTCGAATCCCGGTGGGTGCGTACTGCTGAAGAGTCCCAAACTAGGACGAAACAGCTGTCCAGTACTCCCAGGTTTTCCAGTGGTTCTCTAACTTATGTCAGCTCATGATGAAATCCTCCATACATTTAAACAAAATCCCTACCAAACCAATACTTGAAAACAACAATGTTTTTTTTTAAAAATAACTTACACTGAAATCAATATGATCTGTTAATTGATTTTGAATTAAATCTAATTTCTGATTGGCCCAAATCGAATCACGACATGTTCGCATATATTCTTCTTTCGAATATGTACCACAAACTAAAAATATGTAAGAAACAGAAAAGTTTTGTATAAAACACAAAATAAATGTGAGCAAAGAATATCCCCCTTTCGATAATTTCCTCTTCTGGCTCCACAACTATATATACGTATATGTTTATATACATAGAATATTCTAGAATAGTAGTCAATAACAATATTAGTGTTTTTTAAATAATATCGATTTGTTAAGTAAGATCACAATGGAATTACAGTTCATTAAAGATGCTTAAACTATAATAATAATAAAGATATAGTAGCAAATAGAATATCAACTAAAATTAAGGAAATTTCTACAAAAAGTTGAGGATCATTCGAACCTAGATGGCCAAGGTAAGGATAATGTCTGAACTAACTTCTTTTGGATACATAAGTTAGACTTCTTAATGTGGATCCCAACAGCCAGCCTCAGTAATATTTAGTAAACGAACTCTTAAGGCAAAATTGAGATTCGTTGGTATGAGGTAAATGACCCTGAAAGCATGGTTAACGTCAATCTTGTCTTCTGTCTCTACAAGATGAGATAGAATAGCGCTGCGAATAGATCTTGTTTGTTCTTTACTTAACCACCCAGGCAGGATGATGTTGGGAAATCCGATGAGAAACACTCCTAATTGTACGGCCTATGCAACTAACTGCCTCACTCCACAGGAGCAGTTAAATTGGTAGATACACATGGAAGAGGCGAAATTAGGCAGTTTATCTTTTACTCCCGAACGCAAAAGAGGAGTAGTTTTGAAGACACAGCGTAATTCGGCAGCAGGGAATGCTCTTTTTACCGCATTTCTAAGGCGATGTGTTAGTATCTCACTGGTGTTGTCTCCAAGGAACTGCATCTGTAAGAATAAGGCCTTTTTAGGAACTGTTGGTACCTTGGGCTGCTTTGGTTTTAGATTCATATTCTTATCAATAAACTTTTCTGGATAACCATTTTCATTTAGCAACTGTTTAATATTATTAAGTTCTTCATCAAGACATTCGTCTGAGCAAATTGCTCTTGCTCTGTGAACCAAGCACTTTATCAGATTGCGTTTGTATTTCAAGGGCACGAAGCTGAAAAAATGTGTATACTGACCCGTTGATGTAGATTTTCTATATACACTTCTTCTTATTGTGCCATCCTCTTTTCTGGTCATGAGGACGTCTAAAAATGAAATACCAGAGTCTTTTTCTTTCTCAATAGTAAAATTTATTGCAGGATGAACTTCGTTAAATTTATCCAGGATGTTCTTTGCTTCCTCCTCATTTTTCATAATCAAAAATGTATCATCCATGTAACGACAATAGAATTCAAGTTCATTAATAACATCCTTCAAAGGCCCATTTTCTAGTTTCACAAGGAAAATGTCGGCTAGAATGGGTCCTAGTGGTGACCCCATTGCCACACCGTCGATTTGTCTATATAGTTCCTTATTCAATAAAAAGTGGACATTCATTGTACATTTCAAGAGAAGCTCTTTCATAAAAGATATAGGAATGCCAACATCGATGTTTCGTTTTTTGAGTTCTTCACATATAAAGTCCACTGTTTCCATGAGTGGTACATTGGTGAATAAAGAAGATACGTCAAATGATATCATGAATTTATTGTCAACATTTAAATCTTTTATCCTTTCAACAAATCCAAAAGTATCCTTTACACTGTGTTTCACCAACTCGGTATGTGGAGAGGCTGTAAGAGTTCGACTAACCATTTGGCTACGGGATGGTATGGTGAATTTAACATATCTAATACTGGTCGAAGTGGTACACCATTTTTGTGCACTTTAGGTGAGCCATATAGTCTTGGTGTGAACGTTCCAGTTTTGAACAAATATATCGCTTAACCCTAAATTTTGTGATAGCCATGTTAAAATTAACAAAATGGATGCACAAATTCAGTTCGAAAGTCTCCACACTCAAACTGAAGGCCTAATACCCTCATCAACTGAAGATGTTGGAAGAATTAAATCAACACTGGTCGATTGTTGCTATTATTACATGAATAGTAAACGCAATTGGGATAGTATTTTGACCAAAAGACATAGAGAAGCTCTGGGTATCCTCTGTAATAACAAGACCGGATAAGGGCTCAGGAGTGGTTATCATGAACAAAGCCGATTACTTTGAGAAGATGAATCCTATTCTTAGTGATAATCTAAAATTCCAAAAATTCTCCTGTTCCCTGGATTTAATTGAGGAGACAGAGAAACAGTTAGCGGAAACATTGAGAAGACTGAAACAACAAGGCTTTATCTCACAGAGCCAGTATAAATATCCAAAATAACAAACTGATAACATAATCTATTTAGAGTCATTTTAAACAATGTTTGTTGGACATTGAATAGTCTTTTCGTTGACAGATTTATCTCAATTACACATATTAGAGAATATTAGTAATACTAATAGTAATAGCTTTATTCTGAATGAACAAATTGGTTCAATCCACTCTTGAATCAAAAATAATTATCCCAAAGTCTTCATAAAAAGATATTTGAAATGTGAAGATAAGGAAGGATGGATCAAAAGCTGTTGCTAAGAATTGGGTTAGTACAGCGGTGATTCCTTACCGCAAAGAAACATCCGATGAGATAAAGCGAATCCCTAACAATCACGACTGTAAGATGAATTCAATTCCCATCCTTAAACCAAGTCAGCCTGTCCCGGATCAGCCTAGCATTGTTGCAACACAATTATCCATGCCTAACGTGTCTATCCCACCTTGTTTAATGAACTGTGTATGTGTGTTTTTACTTCGATCCGTTTAGTCAGATAGTTTAACTCATGACCCAATCAGAGTATTTTTGTGAACTGTCATTTTGCTGAACCATGTCTTACTCTGTACTATTCTGTCGAGTTTATCTTATTTATTGATTGGTTAAGTAGCCAATTAAATTCTATCTTTGTGCCTATGCTTTGTCTATCTCTTACTTGGGTTCATTCTTCTACTGACTGCTTACCTGAACGGTCATGTCTGATCCGGCTAGTTCGTAATTTTGGCTTTAACGTTATTCCGCTCTGATAGCGGTACCTTGCTTTCTGTTAAACGTTGTGCTTTGTACTCTTGAAACCGTTAAGGTTTGTTGTATATATAATTATTGATTTGTTTATTAATAGTACCGTAGAAACAGTGACTGGCTTCTTGTTTGTTCTGGACCGGGATAGCCTATATCTACGCGTGACTTTATTTCAAGCGATATTGCGCTTACAACGACATAACAGTGTATTTTCGTTGTCAACTAACACCTTACGCTCCTCATCACTGATGAAGGTTAAGGATAAAGTAGAAGAAGAAAACCAACAGAATTGTGTATACCAGATCAATTGTGGGGACTGTGACGCCGTATATGTAGGAGAAACTTCCAGACAGGCAAATATAAGAGTGAAAGAGCATAATCAATGTCTAAAGGTGGTTTCAAAGACATCTACAGACTTAAAGTAGCAAGAAAACAACTCAGCGATTGCACTGCATTCGATAGAAACGGGACACAAAATCGACTTAGGTTCTACAGAAAAGTTTTTGTTCGTATGAAGAAAGACTGACTGCAGAAACCCTGCACATATGGGTGAATTCCAGTTTGATGTGATGTTAGCTGATGCATGGCAAATTCTGATTAATAAATAAAAATTGGATATGTATCAACCTTGAACTTATGTCTATTCCATCCCATTCGTTGGTTTATTTTCGGTAGTATTCATATTGTTTCACACATCCTGATTACATTCACCCTCGAAACCTGTACTTTTGTTGACTTTATATATATATATATATCATTAAATTATTTCATGTCATCTTATCTCATTTTCTCATCGACCATGCATATTCCAAAATTAACTGTTCCATCCCATCTTACTTACACTTGTTCCACAATATATTTTCTTCTGATATGATTCTACTTTGCCTTTACTGACTGGCTATTGTATGCTTAAATTTATTAATGGACGTATAATTGTAGAGCCTGAAGAAGACGGATTTATTGAAACCACAATTCTTCGCTGTAACTATTTTGTTGTTCTGAATAAATTATGGGAATATTCAATTTACATATTTATTATTTTCTTCCTTTGCATTCCAGGTGGAGCTTAGGGCTTCCAGAAGTGGGCTTAAAAATTTTCACTGGCAAAGGCATTTCCTTTTACGGGGTAAGGCTACTAACCTTACCCCTGCCCTTTCTTCTTTATCGGTCTCACTACTGGCTAGATGAGGTTTACGGATGTGTCGACCGGGAATCGAATCCAGGGTCCCGTGTGTAGCGCGCTGACCAAATATGCGGGAAAAAATAAAAATGAATAATACATCCACTGACATGACACCACAGACCTCCAAGTGGAACTCATATGAGAAGCAACTAGTTAGGCATCACTATGAAGGTGACATAGAGGAAATCATGTGTGAAGAAGGAAGCTCAGCCGTAGAGACAGTTGAAATTGACAACAGAGTAGTGAATACCATAAAGAAGTGCTGCCGAAGCTTTATTTTCAACTCAGAATTCAAGGAATAAAAGAATAATAACAATTATTTTCATTTAATTGAATTTTAGATTTTCCCGTCGATTGATTGGACCGAAGTGCTCGGTCTCAGGTTGACATGTCGGCTTCTTGAGCAGATGCTTCGACGATGTCTGGACATTTAATTAGTATTTAATTGGTGCATGGTGACTAGCATTGGTGGAATCCAGTATAACGCGCATTTCGTCCTATTTGGGACTCGTCTGTCAGCTGGATGTACCTGCATTTCTCAGTGAGTGATGATACTATGGGCACTTGGTTCGAGCCTTGGTGGGAACATCATCACTCACTGAGAAATGCAGGTACATCCATCTGACGAGTCCCAAATAGGACGAAATGCGCGTTATCCTGGATTCCACCACTGCTAGTCACCATCCACCAATTAAATAATAACAGTTATTAGTACCAAGAATTAATTTGTAGAGATTCGACTTGTTTCAAATTTGATGAACAGTTGGCATCAGTTAGAGAATTAACGAAAGCCAGGCAACACTGGTCAGCTGTTTCATCCTAGTTTTGGGACTCTCTAGAAGTGGAGCACCCACAACCTTCATGTTATAAGGTCAAGCTATCTGACTATTCAGACACTTGAGTTGAGATTCAATAACCCGTGAATTCGAATTTATGTCAATTCTTCATATATATATAGATATATATACAGCGTTATCGCTAGCCAATCTCTTCGGTTAGTGTTTCTTCTTGCACTCCACCTGGTGGACCCCACTAGTTACTACTTCTCACTAGAAATCATAGGAGCAGTTGGCTGGATGATCAGTAAGTCTCGTAACCTGAAGTCTTGTGTTCTAACGAGTCCCAAATCGGGACGAAACAGTTGTCCAATACTCCATGATGGCTTTCAACAATTCTTCCTATCTGATATCAATTTATGGTCAAACTTGAAGCAATCTTAGTAATAACGTTTAACAATCGCCAATCAGTTAACAAATCAACTTACTTGGAACAAATGGATTAATCGCGCTAAAATCGAAACGCACTGTAGCCGTGGATAAATCTTTTCTATCAATATGAAATGGATGATCACGAATAAATTGATAAGCAATTGAATGTGATTCAACAAAAGTGATATGATGAAACTTCAACGACGATCTTTTTGTTTCTTTCCATTTGATAACACATGAAAATTGTGAGTGCTATTTGAAGGGGGATGGGGAAAAAGAGATTGAAAATGTTTATTTTTGTATGAAACTAATAATTAATGGAATTTAGAAATTTAGAATTAACTATAAAATATGGAAATATAAAATGAGAATAGTGTAAGAATATTGAACACTGATCATATCTCATTCGTCGACTAGGTGAATGTAAACTATAACAACCAATAAGGAAACTAACTAAAGAAGACCTTGACAAGTCTGTCTATCGACCAATCAGATGAGCCCGAAGTAAATGTGCGTAATTTGAAAAAACAACCTTTACACCAAAGTAATGTAATGTTAAAAAATAGTTATAGGATAGCATAACATTCTTGAATATGTTCCAAGAAACCTCCAAATACAACTAGGAGTCCTCATAGTTAGGTTAATCCAATTTCTGTACATAAATTCGTTGAGATAACTGTATATCATTGTGTTTCTTGTTATCATATCAAGGCAACTCTAAACAATAGGAACCCAAAACGAAACGACCTACGAACGCACAAATGACCTCGTCAAGGACCAATCAGAAGGCTCAAAAAAACGACAATAGTCGTCCCAGGCAGCACTAAGCGCTAGACAATAGTCAATAATACACATGCCCTGCGCTTAGGGATCGCCTCAATATGTCCTTTCTGGAGGCTGGCGTCATATATCCCTAAAACCTATTGCTGGAAAAAAGTCACCTGATCGGTTGCTCAAGGTCATCTGTGCGTTCGTAGGTCATTTCGTTTTGGGTTCCTATTGTTTAGAGTTGCCCATATCAAGGTGATATGATTACGAGCAGTGATAAATTGTGCTAGAAACGTGGTCATCAGTAAATATTACTGTATAACAACACTATGTGAGACTTTATCAGGATGAAATTTTATCCATAATGGAATTATACTCTACCGCAGTGTCCAAGTTTTATCCTTATTTCGAATCGGTCCAGTCAATCGGCAGGAAAATCTAAAATTGAATTAAATAATTAATATGACCCGTTGTACAAGAAGTGGCTCTCGTGGCCCAAGTGGTCTAGTGGATAACGCTTTGGCGTTTTAAACTATGGGCATTGGGTTCGAGCCTCGGTGGGAACATCATCACTCACTGTGGGATGCACCTGACGAGTCCCAAATAGGACGAAATTAGCATCCTGGATTCTGCTGCTAGTCACCATAATGAATATAGATTCTGTTACAAGTCTCTCTTTCCATTTGTTCATATTAGTTTTCAGAATACAAACATTGTTCCAATCGATATTGTGGTTTTTGTCCCATGCATGTGCAGCTATCGATGAATTTTTTCTAAATTTTTGTAAGCTTGTGTTCCTGTTGGTTGCGTTTTAGTTCGGTGTTTATGTTCATTCACTCTTATTTTGAGTGATCTGGATGTTTGACCCACATATTTAGTCGGACAGTCAGCACAAGATATTTTGTAAATCAAGTTGTTTTTATCCATCATTTTTATGGAATCTTTCAGTTGATTTAACCCAATTTTATTTAGATTCGTTGGTTTACACGTGTTGCGAATCCCAATATTTTTGAGGTCTCTTCGAATCCCTCCTCTGATGTACCATTTTTGTACTTTGTCATTCTCCGGTTTTGCCCTCTTTTTTTCTTTTTTTATATTATTTGTTATTGAGTAACATTTTGAATAAGACGTTTATTTCTTTACACTGGTCCTCTGGCGTTGTTGTAAGTCTACGTATTCTATCTGTAAGACTTTGTATTAATCCTCGTTTTACGGTGAGTGGGTCAGCTGAGTAATAATCAAGGAATCTCCCAGAATATGTTTTAGAGTAGTTTTTCTGTCTAGCGTCGTTTTCATGCTACCATGTGTTATTCTTTGTACTTTTCAGTCTAACATAGGCAGTTCTCCAATTTCATTCTCTATTTCCATAGTGAATTTTATCGAGTCTGCATGACTGTTTATTTGTGAATAAAATTTCTAATTTTTTCATTATTACTAACGTGCCATCTACAAGTCGTCTTCGCCAACATTCTATTGGTGATCTAAATGGTTTACGTGCATTCTCTTCCCAAAATTCTACGAATATATCCGCTATTATTAATGACATAGGCGATCCCCTGGCTACTCTCCCTTCGTTCTGTTGGTATATTTTTCTTTCAAATGTAAAATATGTTTTTCTTGTTAGTATTAAAATCCAAATCCCTTTTATTATCTCTTCTTTAGACAATTGTGTCCTGTCTTTTATACCATTATCTTCGTCTAATCTGTTGAAATATAAATTATTTGAACTATTCCACAATGCTTAAACACTCTACTGACATTAATTGCTTAAAATGGCCCATCAATAATTTTAAAAGACGGGGATAACTGAACAAAGAATTGTTAGAATGCAGTCAAAAGCTGAAATCAACAAATTTAAGTCAATAACTCCATAGTTAGGCGTGTTTATTCCTCAAATCTAGATTTAATTTTTGTATTGTGGACATCAAAATAACCTCATTGGACAATTTGTTTGACCTTGGGTCAACTGTCCACCAATCAGAACAGTTGATTCTCCTCTAACCTAGACGAACTTCAATATGGCTAAGAATGTACAAATATGAGATCCGTTACAAAGTCTCTCATTTTCTGTTGTCACAATGTGTCCATAATAACTAAAGAATTTCAACATAGACAGAATAAACATTGATGGTTCTGATCAGCTGCATACAACTACTATTAAGGTGTACTTTAAATGTCCAATTCAAGTTCGACAACACGTTTTATAGACGAAGAGATGGAGTGGCAATGGGGTCACCATTGGGTCCTTTACTTGCAGACTGCTTCTTGGTAAGTTTGGAGAATGGTATGTTATGGCCTACTATCGTTAGTTTCCATTTGTACCAAATATACATGGATGATACTTTCATCATATGTGACGAGAATACCGAAATCGAAATAATAACTAAAGAGTTCAACAGCTCTGCCATCATGCCATCCAATTCACGTCGGAATCAGAGATGAACTCGGAATTCCATTTTTTGGATGTTTTTCTAAAAAGGAGATCTGATGGTTCTCTTCAAAGATCGATCTACAGGAAACCAACATGGAATGGTCAGTACACGAATTTTCATAGTTGGGTCCCTTTGAGAAGAAAGAGAAACCTGATCCACTCCTTATCCTCAAGAATAAGAAGGATATGTTCCAGTGATACAATCGACGGGGAACTGGAGCGACTCAGACAAGTCCTCATAGAGAATGGATATCCTCCAAGATTTATCGAGAAAAACATGAAGTTAAAGCAAATACCTGAAAGAACCCAGACGATGCCAAAGAAACTGCTATTTATGAGCGTTGAATTTAAAGGTGATACCGCAGCTGAGATCCTGAAGAATCGCTTATGCAGATCACTGAGGAAAGCCTTCTTTATGGCTGAGCTACGTATCAATTTCTACAGCCGACAAATGATCAATGGATGTGTGAAGGATAAACTGCCGCTTTGGGCCACCTCAATGTGTGTTTATAAATTCACCTGCTCGTGTGGAGCTAGTTATATTGGCCGCACAAAGCGCACACTTTCCAAACGCATCTCTGAACATTATCCAGCATGGTTAGCAAAAGGACAATGCAAGACAATTACTAGCTCAATTCTCGAGCACTTGGTGAACTCAAGCCACGTAGCTCCACCAGAGTCATCTTTCAAGATCATCTACAAGGTGAGGCCAAATGGTACAAAAGGCGTCAGGTTTCGGCTTTTGTGTATGGCGGAGGCGCTGGCAATTCGTCAATACAACCCCGAACTCTGTATACAGAAAATGTTTGTTCAGTCTCTTATTCTACCTTGGTCTTAACCTCTTCACTAGTCGTTCCCTGTAAAAAAAATTTGATTTTTTTCTTTTCTTTTTTAATTTTTAATTTTACTTTTATTTTGCTTTTACTTTAATAATTAATTCACTATTATCACTCTCATATGTTCCTTTTGTACATTTTCACACCCTCTTCACGCTTGTTAAATTGACATTCAACTACCTTTATTCTCACTCAATAGCAATTTTAACCTTATCAAATTTCTAACTTTGTGCCGTTGAGTACCACGTAATTTACAACTTTTATAATTTTACTTCTAAAGCCACTTCTGAGTAATTACATCAATTATGTCACACACACCCCCTATTACTCAATAATAGACTACTATACATTTTTGGTAAATATAAATACGACTGTACAGCCTCTGAAGATGATTTCGTCGATAAAGAAAATTTTCTTCGCTGAATTTGTCTTTTATTTTCTTCATGACTCAATGGGTATTTTCGGTGACAAGGTTATCTCAAATTATATGTCGTATATGTCGCAGTGAGAAGACAGTGCTTCGTTGACTCAGTGGTAGGGTGTTCGCCAACCACGCATGTGGCCCTGGGTTCGATCCCCAGAAGATGCACTCCTCTACCTCGCTAAACCAGCAGTAAGATTGGCAAAGAGGGAAGGTTGGGCATGAGGCTAGCAACTCCATCCCGTAAAAGTAAAACACCACTGCTACCGAAACTTCAAGCCTCTAACTTGAAGCCCACGCTGTGTTCCACTGGGAACGTAAAGGAATAAAAAATGTCAGAAAACAAAGAGTTACTGGGTGACACGGGTTCGAATTCCAGAAGTGATATGAATTCCTTCAAGGTTGCAGATACGCCTCGCTGACTAGTGAGTGCTAAAGAGCTCGAAATCTAGGTCCAGGTAGGGTAGGTCCAGGGGATTTATGCCGACTGCCTCCAATCATCTAATATCCAGAATTCACAGTGCATATTGATGGTAAGCCACCTGGTGTTATGGTGGTCACATTGCAAACTTTACCAAAGAAAGGACTAGACATATTTTGGTGAGAGCTGTCTGATAACCAAAATTAATAGACAGCAATTTACATCAATGTTTACGTCCCATATCTTGGTCATGAGAAAAAAGGAACGAAAACAAAGACTAACTCAACAACCAATCACGGCAGACTTAGCGTGGGCGGATACGATTCGCAGATATATATGGTCTGACCTTCAAAGAAACAGCCACAAAGAGATGACAGAATAACCTTGAGTTAAAAAACAACCAATCAGAAGACGCTGTTTCTCTGTTAACAATAGGGCTAATAATAATGTACATAAAAATCTATAAATATCTGTTGATTTTCTCAAAAAACGATCTGTTGCCTGGCCCTTGTCTTCTGTCGTTACAACATTACACTAGTTACTAAATAGTGTTCAGTCAAAATAATCAATAATTAAATAGAAACTTACTCTATACGATAATCCTTGGAATGGAGAGATGAATAATGCACCAGAAGCTGGATCCACTGAATAACCAGCATCGGTTGCTACACTGTAAGAAATATTTTAATATAAAATAATAAAAAAAATCTGAATTGTGAAGCTTTAAGATATATATAATATATATATAAACTCTAGTACCATAGGCCGTCTAAATTGTTTTTCAAAGTACAGAGATTTACCATCTGAACTGATAACAACCAGTCGTCTCCGTTAGGGATGCCTATTGTCCCCACTTTCATTCAAATTTCATCACAGATGTACTCATGGAATTAACTCTAACTAAATTTAGCAACTTAGGGACTGGTTTGTTTCCAGGGAAAAGTCTTATCGAATTAGAGTAAACGGATGACATTGTCCTCCTAGGTGAAGATGCTGACAAAGTGGAGAGTCTTGTGAACACCTTGAGTAAAAATCCCTGAGTGTTTAGCATGTTGCAGCAAGACTGGTATACACCAACTCCTAGTCTAAATATAGGGCGAGGGAATAGTTAGGCGTGTTGACCACTTCATTTAATTAAGAAGTTACATCATTTATAATGGAATGATTGCTGGTGAGATCTCAGCATTTGTCAATATGTGTCAGTCGGTTTTTTAACTTGCCTCCTCCTTCCAGCCATGCTATGTAGTGTTCTCAGGCACATTTTGAAAGACGGGGTTAGAGTGACCTACGTACATAGTTCCTCAGGAGCAGGTGAATTGATATGTGCACATTCGAGTGATCATATGCTGTTAGAAACTATCAGTTCTAGTTTTGCTGTAGGAGAGGTCTTCTTTAAAGAACTAGAGATTCTCTTCTTTAGGATATCTGCCGCTAACTCTCTCTCCTGAAGTCCAGATTCATATACAGTATTTCCATTGGGAGTGAAGTGTATTCTTCTCTTTTTGGCTTTAGTTTCATGTTCTTCTCCATGAAACGTGCTGGGTACTCATTTTGAGCGAAGATATTTTTTGAGAAATAGGAGCTCTTCTTCTTCCAAGCACTTAATTCCTGAAACATTCCTCTGAATCTCTGGGCAAGTAAAATAAATGATGAGAGCTCTTTTTCAACTCACAGGTATCCAACCACAGGAGTTTGTCAGTTGGATATTGCATAATATTTTCTTGTTTGTTTGTTCTTTCAGACTCCCGTCATCTCTTCTTGTCAATTTTAGATGCAAAAAGATGAAATCTTAGATTCATTTTCTAATTCCTTCACCTATCTAAGAAGCCTCGTTTCAACTACAGACAGTCGGAATGGATGAAGACGTCAAAGCCAGTGCGAGTCTGGAAGGCAAGATACATCTGCATCAACTTGAAACCACTTCGGAAATCTCCTCCAATTATGCAGCATGTTGAACAAGATTCGCATTTTCAGTGCAGATGTGAAGTCAGTCAGTCCTTCTATACGGGTCAGATACTTGCACTGCGTGTGCATCAGGAAAAGGATTTCCAACGGGTTACCGCAGACTTTTGTCAACAGCTGCCTTCTCTCCATACTGAAGAACAAATGGCCAGATACAATTGGTAACGAGAAACTGTGGCTGCGAACAAACCGATCAGGAGCCGATCGCTTAAAAAATATGTAGGAGAAAGTGGAGATGGATTGGGCATATGTTTAGGAGGCCATCGAATGATACCGCGCGCCAGCCAGACCATCGCTCGAGTGGAATACCAATGGGAAGCGACGAGTGAGTCATCGGTGCGAGGGTGATATGGAGGAGACCGTGTGACGAGGAGGAGATGAGAGATTGTGATCAATTGTGGACCCAGCTGAAGAAGACGACAGAAACTAGAACAAAGTGGAGATGTGATGTGTTGTTGAAGCCCTTTGTTCCACCTGGAACGCAAGGGAATAATAATAATTCCATTGTAAATTTAACTGAGGAATTGCAATTATTAAATTCTTGTAAGATAAAATTTAAACTGGAGTTACACTGATAGATTATAAAATTGTCGTTGGCATAACCTCTTGTACAGTAGTAATTTGTCGATTTTTGATTTGTACTGCAGAATCCCTCACTATGAACATGAGAAAATCCGGGACTATGGGTTAAAATAAACTGCCCCATTCAGGCAGTTAACCTGGGGTTCTAGTGGGGAGCCTTGACCAGTAGGTTATAGCAGGTTGGCTAGTGGTCGCTCTATGTCATGAATTGGCAGAAGTTAGAATTCATGGACTGGCTAGCCATTGGATCGGGTCCCAGTGGCTTAATGGTCTACGAGCTGGCTAGCCTTGTAACCAGGAGGTCGTGGGTTCGAACCCCTCGGTGTGGGTGCGTACCGTTGAAGCGGAGTCCCAAACTAGGCTGACAAAACAGCTGTCCAGTATTCTCTGTCTTGTTTTCCAATGGTTCTCTAACCAATGTCAGCACATGATGAAATCCTTCAACCAATCAAAAAGAAACTAGTGAAACTTTTATATTTACCATGAATCTAGTTTAGTTTGACCCGTTAGTTCTCATGATTTTTTTTCATTCCCTTCACTTTATTCTCTCCATCTTTAGTTATAAAAACTATTATTTCAACTTGCTTCAACACTCTTGTAGTCCACACCTGTTTCTGTTAGAAACTATTTTACAAATTTTACGACTATTCTCTAGTCCTGTGTAATTTTGTTTCTAAACCCCTTGCGGTCTGTATATATTCACACCTCTGAAATTTCATAACAAGTTGAAAATTATTATTGTTACATTTAATCTCACTTCATTATTATGTTGAATTAAATTATATTATAATTATTGTTCCGTTTCGTTCCTAGGGGAACATAGGGCTTCAACAACACATCACGTCTCCATTTTACTCTGTTTTCTGCTGTCCTCTTCAGCTGGCTACCTCCACGATTGGCCATAATCTCTCATCTCCTCCTCCTCACATGATCTCCTCCATGTCGCCCTCGCACCGACAACCCACTCGTCGCTTCTCATCGGGATTCCACTCGAGTGATGGCCTGCACTGTGCGCGGTATCATTCGGTGGCTTCCTAAACATATGCCAAATCCATCTCCACTTTCTATATATTTGTTGAGTGTCCGGCTTTTGGTTGGTTTGTTCACAGCCAGAGTTTCTTGTTACTAATTGTTTCTGACCATTTGTTCTTCAGTACGGAGAGAAGGCAGCTGTTGATAAAAGGCTGCAGTAACCTGTTGGAAATCCTTTTCGTGACTCACACGTAGTGCAAGTATCTGACGTGTATAGAAGAACTGACTGACTGACTGACTTCAAATTTGTGTTGAACAGAATTCGAATCTTGCTCCTGATGCTGAGTTAGTACAGAAGATTTCCAAACTGGTTTCGGGTTGATGAAGGCGCCTCTTTCCTTTCCGATTCTCACTGGCTTTGACATCTTCATCCATTCTGACTGTCTGTAGTTGAAACGATGCTTCCCAAATAAGTGAAGGAGGCAACCTCTGTTAAATCTCTCCCGTCGATAGTGATTGATGCTGGTTGTTGTTGTCGCTGCTGCTGCTGGTAGGTTATGTTCACCACCTCCGTATTCTCTTTGTTATTCTGCAGTCATGCTTTCGCTGCCTCTTCAGCCAGTTTGCTGGTTTTTGCCTACCTGAAAGTCTTCGAGTTTGTGTGACATTAAACATGAATCATCCAGCTGCAAAACCCAGATCTTCTAGAGTCTTCTTATCCGTGGTCCAGCGTATTCCTGTCTTCTCACTCCCCAATCTCAGTCTGACGCATAATCCAGTGCCCCACAATTAGGAATATCATCGGTGATAACAGACAGCCAGCTTGTATTACTCCTGTATTCACTTCGAACGTCTCACTGAATTTTCCGTTGTGGATCACTTGACACGTGGCATTGTAATATAGTTGTTGAATGAGGTTGACAAAGACTTGAGGTACGCCGTAGTGCTGAATTAAATACTAATAGTAATTGTAATTATGTGAGCTTAAGGACATAAATGCGATTGTACAGCTGCTTTCTAGGATGAAGTCGCCAAAAAGATTTTACAGTTATTCGCATGTATATTATTGCGTGTAAATCAACAGTTCAGTGATAGAATGCTCGTCAAATACTCACACGGTCGAAGATTCGATTCCCGGCTAACGTCCTCCTAAGTCTCAGCCGGTTTTTACTAATTAGTAAATAAACGAAGGTTAGGCGTGGGGCTAGTAACAATACCCCTTAAAAGAGAAACACCAGCACCACTACGGAAACTTCAAGGCTTCAGGCCTGAAGTCCTTTGTTCAACTAAGAATACAGCACGAAGTTGCCTGGAGGTTTAATAAGAAGTCGTGAGGACCAACACTCGTTCCGGATGACACTGGTTAGTAGCCATGCTAAAATCACGAAGTGGTAGTGGAAGGTAGAATTCGTCGGCTAGCTATTGAATCGGGTCCCATTGGCTGGATGGTCCATGAGCTTGACTTGTAATCGGAAGGCTCCGGGTTCGAACCCTGGCGGCGTACTGCAGATGAGTCCTAAAATGGGACAAAACACCTTTCCAGTACTCTCAGCATTGTTTTCATTGCTTTCCTAACCTGAAACGCATCAAATCCCTACAAACAAACTCATAAAAATAAAATGATAAAGAGAATAATATTGCTTTACTTACCTCCAAAATTCTGACGGTCCTTGACCAATAAACCATGTACGCGTTATCTCCATATCACTGTTTGTTTCATACCAATTGATTACTTCTTGTTTATATGGTGTCCAACAGGGTAGAACAATCGGTCGACTAGTTTCATGTAACCATAAATAATGCATATAATGTTTTGGTGGCATACTTTCAACTGGGATATCACTAAATAGTTTGCTTTGTCCAGCAGGACTTATTAACTGGTCTATACTTTGTGGTAATGCATCCAAGATAGTGGTGCCGGTGGTGGTGTTACCGTCGTCAACATCACTTGATATCATTTCGACAAGATAACTTATTGGAGTAATCAACTTCTCAAGATATCCAGTTTTTTCATTCAGTTTATAATGTTTATACATACGTTCAGGGAGGAGAATTTCTAAGAAGGGATCTTTTGCCGTACTAGTGAAATCATTTATGATAATTAATATAATGAATAGGAATAGAATTATGTTTCGTAGCATTTTATGAAATCTTTGCGTCCAGATGTTTCTTTGGGAACAACTGCTTAACTACTTAAATATTTACAAGTAGTTTGCTAATTACCACATAAAAATATGCGAACAAAATTTAATGGTATTCATACTAAGATGAAATTATTTAAATTTGAAGAATTTATTCACCATGTATCTAAAATAAGAAAATAAACAAATTACTTTAAAAAGTCTTATTTATATTTTATGCCGTGATATTTTCGTAGACAATACAGGATAAGTATCACCTACGACTCAGAATACAAGAACATAAAATAGCTGTCGAAAGACACGGCATATCTATTCCTTTACGTTCCCAGGGGAATATATGGCTTCAAGCCGGAGGCTAGCCTCAAGGCCAGCCTTTTCCCTTCACCAGTCTTATTACTAGCTTAGCGAGGTAAAGGAGTGAGTTGACGGCCGTGGACCGAACCCCGGACCACATGCATGATTGGTCAGCATTCTACCGCTGTGCCACTAACGCATATGAGGCACTACATATATTCATTGATTTCGACTCATGTAGACAACTTCAGATACCAAATAGATTGAAAAAATGTAGAAATTTTAAGCAGTGGCAACACGAACAATTGTAGGGATATCATAGAAATCTGGTAGTCAGACGAATCACTATTATAGATCGAATTTATCCCTTAATAAAGAACTGGCAGAAGTTAGAATTCATGGGCCATTGGATCGGATCCCAGTGGCTTAATGGTCTACGAGCTTGCCTAGTGACCGGAGGGTCCTGGGTTCAAACCCAGTCGGTGGGTGCGTACTGCTGAAAACTCCTAAACTAAGACGAAAAAGCTGTCCAGTATTCTCTGGCTGGTTTTCCAATAGTTCTCTAACTGATATCAGCTCATGATGAAATCCTCAAACTAATCAAACAAAAAATTCCCTACAAAACCAATACTTGATTAATAAAGAATAATCCAACTTGACAAAATGAGTCAAATTCCAAATCAATGAAAACGATCAATACTGATGCCAATATTAACAACCAATCACAATAAATGTGTTGCCAGGATACATAATTATGTCCTTTGTGGAGAATTCAAATTGAAGTTTAAGTCGAAGATATTGTCTAGAAGAACAATGAAAACTTCGCAATACGACAGTCCACTTCAGAGAAGTCAAACACATCAAAATCATCTAACTGAGCTAGAAAAACCTTTTCTGTTTTTATGATCAGAACTTCGTTTAGATAAATTCAGTCTAACACTAATGTATAACCAAAACACGAGTTAGCTAGCTACACCGACAGAAGACTAAAATGTTTTATTCAAAAAAGGTTATATTGAACACTTTTCTTTAGCTTGGTCAGAGTACTATTTATGTATATAAGAATAGAACTTTTGCCCTGTGAATGCAGCGTAATTCCATTATGGGAAAAATTTATTTTGATAAAGTCTCACAATAGTGTTATACAGTAATATTTAATGATGACCACGTTTCGAGCACAATTTATCACTGCTCATAATCATATCAAGGCACTACTCACACAACATTCTAACTTCGTTTATATAATTCCACGCTTCCTCGCCTCTTGATTTGACTGGTAGTAATATTTTCCATATTTGTGGTATCAGTGATGAGCCAATTCTATTGCATGTGCTGGGTGTAGATTCGATGATCAAAGATTCAGTAATCAACCTCTCTCCGACAACCTACCTGTATTGCATTTTTGAATTGTAACTCTGTCCCGCTGTATTGTGTGGTTGTGTGTCAGTGCATGTAGTGCTATTGCTGAGCTCGTTTCTAAATTACTTGTCATCGCGGAGTCAATAATTCTACATACATTAAGGTAAATTCTTATGTTCTGACAATCTGACTACCCCCGATCTACTAGTCTGATTGACCTATGTAGTTGACCTCCCTCACAGTCATTGCAAGGTATTTTGTAAATGATATTACTTTGTTTAATTGGGTCAATCTACAGGTTCCTTTAACCTACCTACAGAGCTTGTCCTACCTGAGTGAGTGAGTTTGTAGGTTCAAATGCCACTATACTTCCTGCAGCCTTAAGAATCTTACTACGTAGGGTCTCAGATGTTCCCTCCCTACTTATATGGCAAAACTGTAGATGCCTTATATTTTTTCTTACTTATGTTATCCTTATTAGTTCCACTATTATTTTTATTTAGCTGCATCATTCTGGAGAGAACCAAACACGCACTGGATGAAAAACGTCGACCGCAACAGGCCGGATTCAGGAGGGACAGGTCATGCGTCGATCAAATCGCAACATTACGGATCATCATTGAACAAAGCTTGGAATGGCAGTCACCTCTCTATCTCAGCTTCACCGACTTTGAGAAGGCCTTCGACTGCGTCGATCGAGAGGTGATTTGGGAACTACTTCGCTACTACGGGGTGCCACCAACAATTATACATCTCATCCAACAATTGCATGATAATGCTGCATGCCAAGTAATTCACAATGAGAAACTCACGGAATCCTTCGAAGTGAAGATTGGAGAAAGACAAGCTGGCTGCCCACCATCTCCAATGATCTTCCTGATTGCAGGCGGTAGAGTGGATAATGCGACAAACAGTAGGCAATGAGGAAACAGGCATAAAATGGACGCACAAAAAATCTTGGACGATCTGGACTTTGCCGATGATATATATGTCTGATTTCCCACTAACTGGAAGATATGCAAGTGATGAAAAGCAACAAGTTGGCAGAAGTATCCAGAGAAGATAGGACTTCAGGTGAACATAGAGGAGGTGGAGACGGAGGTGGTGAATATTCCTAGCCAACAGCAACAGCAACATCAACAGCATCAAACAACAATCAGAATAAATGGGAGAAATCTGAAAGAAGCAACCTCCTTTACCTACCTGGGAAGCCCTATGCTCCTCTAGGAACTTAGGGGAAAAATTTATAATTATTATTATTTTTATTTTGCTTTTGACTTTTTTTGATATTCCTAACGAATTTTATAGGATAGTTATTTAACACTGACGCTTCTTCACCATTTAGTTCCTTTGTTGTACTACTTAATCCTACTGCTCGGTTTGTTAGACACTTAACTAAGCTTGCCTTAACAGTTAACGGATGAGATGAATTAAAATCTAAATATCCAATATTATAATGCGTTGGTTTTGTTTATAAACGCTAGTGTGCAGTTTACCTTCTTCTATTCGTTTTAATTTATAATATAACAAAGCTAATTCTCCTTGTTCATTTTCTGATTCAAATGTGAATTTTATTCTCTTTACTGGTGATACTTAACCATGCATATTTTGTTCTGAGTATCCCTAACTTTTTTTCAACCTAGCATCATTCACATTATTGAAATCACAGCCCAAAATGAAACTACCTGATAAATATTTTAATTGAATTTTAGATTTTCCCGTCGATTGATTGGACCGAAGTGGTCGGTCTCAGGTTGACATGTCGGCTTCTTGGGCAGATGCTCTGACGATGTCTGTGCATGTAATTAGAATTTAATTGGTGGATGTTGACTAGCAGTGGAAATGCAGGTACATCCAGCTGGAAGACGAGTCCCAAATAGGACGAAATGCGCGTTATCCTGAATTCCACTGTTAGTCACCAAAAAATCCACCAAATAAATACCTAATAAAGACCTTGACAAACCTTCAACGACCAATCAAATGCATCCGGAGTAAAAGTGCGTAATTCGAAAACACTTTTTATCCTTAAGTAATGCAATGTTAAAAAGTAGTTACACAGGATAGCGTCCTTATATTATGTTCCAAAGAAACCTCCCAATTTCGGAAAAGTTCAACAATAGCGTCCGAGGAGTGCGAACGCACGAGTGACCTTCAGCTGACCAACCATAAAATTCAGAAATGTTTGCTCAATAAATGATGTATATTAACAAGAAAATGCTTGAAAACGCATTAAACAGGGTATCTTTCTCTGACATGGCTTAAAAATACGTCCTCGTTGTAACGAGGAGTATCATTGGCTAAGTTAGACTAGTTTCTATACATGTATTCACCGAGATAACTACAGATAAACTGTTTTTGTGAATCGTTTATCTCTCTCATCCTGCTTGCAGTCTTCCAAAAAAGCCCGTGGTTGAATTATTATGGTTTCCAGCAAGAGGATAGACGACTACTTACCAGGAAAACATGGATAATAAAAAAAATTAAAATAAATGACGTCAACTATAAATTTATCCGTAATCGTAACCATAAGCTTAATCCTGACCCAAATACTAAAACTAACCTTAATCCTAACCCTAATAATAACACTTATGCAAATCGTAATTCTAACCCTAATGCTAATTATAGCCCCGGGCGAAGTAGAATAGAGTCCTAGGATTGTAAATGTTCCGATGACCTTGTGAATATTCCAATGACCCTGAACGCATGCTAGTCATTGGTTGAGGAAGCCTTCCATTATTCTAGCGCTAAAATGAACCCTGTTCATGAGCTCAGATGCAGATCACATCTTCCAGTACTGCCTAGATAATGGATTGATAGGAAGTACTCGGATATGCGGTTGTGGTGCTTACATGAACCTCCAGTCGTATACCCAGGTCACTGATGGATATGTATTCAGATGTACACAGTGTAGGAAACGATTAAGTGTGCGTACTGGTAAGTGACACTCTGAATTAATTGTCTTCTAGGAACTTTCTTTGAAAAGTCGAAACTGTCTTTGACGAATATCTTGTTTCTGTCCAATTACTGGGTTTTAAAGTCCGGGGTGCCATCTATTGCGGCTCAAATAGTTAATACGTTGACGTCTACTGTGTCTTGGTCTCAATTTTGTCGAGATTTAGCCTCGTGGAAGATGAATAGTATTACTCAGGTGTTGGGAGGAGTCGGTGTAGTCGTCCATATCGATGAAACCGTTCTTATCAGGAAGAAGTACAATCGGGGGCGTGCCAGAGCGAATAACGTTTCGGAATTTATGACACCCAGATTTGCAAAGGGTTTATCGAGCTGATTCCAGATAGGAGTGCTGATACACTCCTCCCTATTATTTAGCGTCTCGTCTTACCAGGCAC